CGCGCGGGGCACCGGCCAGGAGCGCGCAGCAGCGCCGTCCCGGCCCCGTCTTGGCCGCGCTGGGGGCGGCGTCACGGGACGTGCGGGCAGCACCTCGGCCTTGGGTTCCTGGCTCCTCCGGGGAAAGGGGCTCCTCCACGAGTCACGGGGGAACGGGGCGGGCGGAGCGAGTCCTCGGGGCCACTGCTGCCGTCCCGCCCGCCCGCCGGAGGGTGGCAGCGGAGGCCGGAGCTGGGGCCGGGGCATCGCGTGCTTGGCTCCTGCGCGAGAAGAGACCTTTAAGGACGCTTTCCCCGCCGCCGGCCGGGCAGGGCCGCAGGAAGGGCTGGCCCCAAGCGGCACGCAGCTGGCGCCCGACGGCATCGCCGCGGCAGGTCTCGGGGTGGCAGCCTGGGCCCCACGCGCACCCGCGGGCGGTCCCCGCCAGAGACGAGCCAAGGACCCAGGGGCCACCCCAACGCCGGGAGCCTGAGCGGGGCGGGCGGGGCCACACGGGCGTCGTCTGAACAGTCCTCCGTGCCCTGCGGCGGGTGAGACATAAATAGGCCCCTCGGGGAAAGCGGCCGCGAGAGTTCCCGGGCGAGACACACGCCACACTCCACCAGGGCGGCGCCCCTCTGGCTTAGTTCTGACATTCGCCGTCGTGCACAGAGAACACGTGGATAAGCACAGCTTTCTCCACCATGGAGAGATCTGTGCTGCCACACGGTTTCCCCACCTGTGGGGGGGACTTGGGGTGCCTCTGTGCCCCAGGCCCTGCACAGAGGTGTGAGACGGGCCTGTGATGACAGACTGAAAATACAAGCAGGCACGTTTACAGCAGGGTCCGGGCGCACAGTCGCGGACCCGGTCTTCTAATCTTCCTGGTGCCACTCGGGCACTGTTGCTTAAGTAAAATCAAGCAGTAAAACCGCTACAGAAGCCGCGCATGGTGGTGCACGCCCACAATCCCAGGACTGGGGAAGCTGAGGCGGGACACTACAAGTTCAAGGCCAGCGTGGGCTTCCCAGTGAGTTCAGGACCAGCCTGAACTACACAGCAAGACTCTCTCTTAAAACAAAAAAATCAAAGCTACAGAAATGTGTTCCTCTCTTGCAGCTCTGCTTTTCCCAACAAAGCAGGCCAAGTCTGCTCCGAGGTCCCCTTAGCATACAAAGAGCGCGCTCCGCAGCCGCCGCCCATGCTGAGGCCGGAGCCCCGCGTGAGCGCCGGCAGCCACAGCCGCCTGCCTTCTGAAGGGCGCCGCGGGGCCAGAGGAGCCACGGTTAGGTTTGCGCATGCCCTGGTGTATCAGACCGGATCATCTGCGCCTCGTTTCTGAGTGCCTGACGTCCACACCTCCCTCTTCATGTTCTTCAGAGACCGACTGATTCTAAGCTGCAGGAGCCAGCGCGAGGGCAGAGCGCCCTTCTCCGGAGCGTGCGCCGCCCTGCTGGGCGTGCTGAGCACCGCAGCTGTGGCTGATGCGACTGCGGAACTGAGTTTTAAATCTAAATGACCACATGTGCCACCTTATCAGAGGCGGCAAATGTAGAAGGAGCTGCCGTTTGGTCCCTGTCCTGTGAAAGTGCTTCCCCAGCGGGGGTGCTGCCCTGAGAGGTCGGGCTCACGGAGCTGCATCTGCTCCTCCTGCAAAGTTAGGCAAGTAGGGGGAAGAACACCCCCACGCTCATCCACTGGGGGCTAAGGAGCCAGGTAAGACAAGATTACACGTCTGCTCGCCGGGCTCGCCCGGAGATGCACTTGTCCGCGAGCACCCAGGACAGCGGCAGCACACGGCTGTCCGCCTACAGGCCTGGCTGGATCCATCTCTGTTCGCAGTGATGTCACCGCTACCCCCTCGCCCCGCCCCTCCGAGAGAAGGGTGGCCCGGGCAGCTGGCAGCAATCACAGCTGCCTTCAAATGGGGCTCTGGGTGCAAATCTCCATTTTAGTTAAATCTTAGTGCTCGTACCTATTGTTCTTGACAATAAACACGAAGCTGCTGAGTTCTAGAATGGAAGGTCTGCCTGTTGCAAGTGAGGCTATTCTTCACTTACAATGTTCGCAGGACGGACCCAGGAGACCCGCTAACCCACAGCTTCCTGCTGTGGACGCGATGGGGAGGGGAGGGGCGCGCGGGGGCCACAGCTCCACTAGAATGAGCAGGGCTCACCGGTGCTGATGGAGAGAGGCAAAGCACGCTGGGGTCTCCCGGCTGCGCCTCAGGACTTTGTAAACTCTGAGTGTGGCAGCCGGACTTCTCTTCCCAGCTCCCCCAGGAAATAGACAGAACCGCCCCCGAGCGGGCAAACCCCACGGGAAGAGTAACTGTAGAAGGGCAGTGCAGGTAACGGCTGAACCGACACGTTTATTCAGTTAGTGCTGATGCACAGCGGCAGCGCCCTCGTGCCCTGCACAGGCAGCAGCACTGAGCAGTCGCGGGGAACCTCCTGGCCGCCCCCGCGAGCGCGGCCTGCGCCCGGAGCCACCTCGGCGCTGGGCGCGGCCTCGCCCTCCACACCCGGGGCGCCCCGGCTTTCAGCGTGTGAGTAATAAAAGCATGGATGTAAATGTGCCTCGGTGAGAATGGAAAACATTAATATAAAAAAGTCAAACAGAACTAAGTTCTTGAAACTACATATAAAAATTGAATTATTACAACTAAAGCAGCAAATCAAAACATCTGCTGAGGTTTTCTGGTAGAACAACGACAACAAAAAATTAGTTGGTGCCCATGTTCAGTAAGTCACTACCATTGACAAAACTAAATCCAGAACCGGAAATTGAAAAGTGCATAATGAAATTAAATCTTGGATCAAGTATTTATGGAAAATTGGAAATGTTTGTCCGGTAGAGTTGCATAATGATTTCGAGAGGTATTAAAGTTTGTCTGATCCAGCTTTGGCCTGGCGCTCCACGTAAAACAGGATGTAGGCCTTCGCCTTCCCCACGGTGTCCTCATCGGTCAGCGTCACGGTGCTGTCGTTGAAGTGGAACCAGCGGCCTTCGTGACCTGCGTAGGCTGTGTAATGTCCAGAGCCGACCCTGTGGGGAAAAGGCACTGATCAAAGGCAATGACTGCAGAAGTCAGGGAACGATCCGTGCAACCGTGCAATGTGTTATCTGAAGTAGATTTCAGTACGTAGTGTAATTAAGAACAAATGCTGGAAGAGTGATGGCGAACCTTGTAGAGCTTTGAACAACACAAACTGCCTGCTGCGGCATGTGTGTCGTAGGTTCACTGCCACTGTCCTAGAGGCTTCACTTACGATGGGTGATCACACGGATGATCACACGCTTGCTGCCCTCCTCCAACCCCATCAGAGGGGACAGCGGTCAGGGAACGGGAGACAGGAAAGGACCATCAACTGACTGGAAACCAAAGGTTTCCTAGAACCCACGAAGCAGATGGCACCGGGTTAATGGGAATGCTGAACAGCTGTGGACGCCCAAGCATAGCGTTAGCACAGGTCAGGGCCTATGGAGACTCAGTGCTCTACTTCCTGCCACAATCTGTGAAAAAAAAACTTAAAAAACAAAAAATTGAGTTTAAACTAGTTGGCCTCAATGGAAACACATCCTTAGTACTTGGGCCACAAATGCTGACACGGTACCCAGAGTCCACCCTCCTGTCAAGAGCAAGGTGGGTGGATAAAAGAAAGACCTTTACGGTTGCCAGAAAAACCCTCATTTACCAATAATGATCAGCCTTACCCTTCCCTGTAAAGTGGTGCCTCGGTTGAAGAACAAAGGCATTTGGCAAACTTTTGTTTTTATTTGTAAACTGTATATCAGGTTATGAACATGACCATGGCCATCTTTTCCAAAATTGTGGAACAAATTCGTAAACCAAGGTGTCACTGTATTCTGATTCTAAATAAACAATGAAAAGGCAGGTTCTAAGGGGAAAGCAAGAGCATGAACGAAAAATGCTAGGAAGGGCGAGGAAAGCAGTTAATTGGAGAATTTAATGCAGAAAACCAAGGAGAACTTTAAAGCTTCCAGTTAGAAGCAATGGTCTCAAGATGATACTGGCATCGTAAAACGAGCGGCTGTTAGCAACAAGCTGGAGAAGAACAGTGATCGCCAAAAAACAAAAACTGGGGCTGGGGATTTAGCTCAGTGGCACAGTGACTGCCTGGCAAGTGCAAGGTCATGAGTTCGATTCCCGGTCCAGAAACCACCCCCCAAAAAAAAACCCCACAAAAACAGTGATCGCCTTCATAGAAAAACCTTACGGGAAGTGGGGATGCGGCTCGGGGCAGTGCTTGGCTGACAGGCAGGAGACCCGGTTCAACCCCAGCACCACAACGGGCGGTCCACAGAGCTAATTCATTCTCCATTTGGATACAGAGGAACTGATCTAGGAAACGCACTGGATTCATTAGATTCCAGGAGGGAGGACAAAGAATAAACAAATTTCTATCAGCTGAGGATACTCAACTGAAAGTGCCCGACCAGCTACCAAGCAGAAATACATCAGACACTGACTACGCCCAAAGGCAGAGGAGACTACAGACTCCCTGAGAAGAGGGGACAGTCGGCAGTGTCAGCCTTGCCATCTGTAACCCCGGGTGGAGCAGCGTCCACCAAGCTGTGAGGGAAGACTGCCGCAGCGGGCTCGCGCAAGTACAGCAGTCCACGTTTAAAGCCAAAATAACTGCTCTCCGCCAGAGGTCCGAAGGCTGTCACACCTAGTACAGACTTTCCTGGAAAGGTCTTTTAACGAAGTAACAATGTATCTTTAAAGTCCGTGACCCGGGGCAGGTTACTTTAAATATTGCCCTATTTTTCGCCCTCTTAAATTTCAGCTGGCAAAGAAAATAACGGGGGTAAGAGGACCCCGATACTGCGGCCAGGTGGGCCGGTTCTCAGTGCCGACCTCACACGCCCGGCCGCTTGCTGTTTTGCTTCTGTGCACCTTCTCTACTGCTTCCAACGTCCTCCCAGAAAAACTTCACCCGCTTTAATGACCCCTAACCCACTTTTCGGGAGGAGAATTTGGACTGCGGTGCCGGTGCAGAGCTGCCGATCTCCATCTCAGCGGCTACTCACCCGGAGCCATGGTGCACCACCACCGCCGCCAGGTCGTACAGGCAGCTCTCGGGGCCACTGTTCTCGGGCTATGGAACAAGCACAAGGCAGCCCCGGAACTGGGTTAGGAGCAGTGGCCGACAGCATCAGCTTCAGTGCCGCAGTGGCCTCCACCCTCTCTGTGCTGAGACGTGGTCACCGCGCTTACCTCAAGCAAGTAGCATTTCATGTCGAGGCCTCTCAGCGGAAACTCGACGTAAGTGTCAACTTTGTTCCTTAAATATGCCGTCCAGTGAAATCTTTTCAGATGTAAGCATAGCACCTGGATGGCAAAGACAAGGACAACGACTGAACGCGCACCGAATTTACCTTCCAGTAGCCTCTCTGTACTGATGTCTCTCAAATCATACTGCAGGCACCAAGCAGTTTTTCTTCTGACCTTGGCATCGCTTTCTTCATCACACCCCTCCCCCAGGGAACGTCCAGGGCCTGCGGCTCGCCCTGAAAGCCCTAGAGACCCCCAGGACAGTTCGCGTGCTCTCAAGTTATAAAAATATCTTTTCTCATCAACCGGGCACTTTCCTCTTTGAAAGTGCATCCTAATTTGAAATGCACTGCTTACCTTGGGAAGTTTTTGAATCCAGAACTTTTTTGTGGACTTTTGTTTCTTTTTGCATTTGTGGCACATATATAACTCTGTCTCGTCCAGTTCTTCTAAGTCAGTGAAACTGCGAAGACAATCTGAAACCAAAGGGGTTGGGGCTGCATTAGAGGACCAAGCACTGCAGAAGGCAGAGTCTTGCTGCCGAGCAGCCCACGTCTGAGGCACGCCTTGATCAGCTCTGTGACCTCATCAGAGTCGCCAGTCCTTAGATGCAAACTAGAGACAGAAATAAACCTCCTTTGAAGAGCTACGCAGGAAAGCGAAATAGCGGACAAAGCCCCTGGCATCGCGCCTGACACCGGAGATGGTCTGCGAGCGATAGAAATGCTGGATGTTGGTTTTACTGCAGTTACTGAAAGAGTGAGTCTGGGATTTCTAATAAAAACCGATTCCTGATGAGATCAAAGTTCCTTGTCTTTCTGCGCACTAGGACGGAACCCAGGCTCTTGGCCGTGCTAGGCGGGGGCTCTACCACTAAGCTGCATGCCCAGCCCATGTTTTTCTCTCCATGTGTGACATTACAGAGAAAGCCCCAAGCTTACAAAAAATGAACATCAAATGTAGATCAAACATCCCTAGTCACAACCTTTAAAAACAAACATAGATTATGTAAGGCTAACGTGCTGCTAACCCACAAAGGCTCCCCCCAACCACCTCCCCCTGCTCTACTCCCAGTCCTTTAAACCGCAGCCACATTGTTTGGTTTGTGGACTGAATTGTGTCACTGGGGTTGGTAAGCTACTCTTGAGCCAACGCCCGTCAGCCACCTAGGTTTGTAACTGAAGTTGCATGCGAAGGAGCGTGTGGCTGTTGGAACCTGTACTGGGTAGTTTCTCTCTGGGCCTTCTCAGGCTGTGCACCCTGAGTTGGGGGCAACGGCAGGGGCTCTTCTCCCATTTCTTTCATTTGTAGCAACCGCCAGGGCTGAAGCAGGAGCAGCTCACAGCCTGAGCCGGGTGAAATGCCTTCCTGCTGAGGTGTTGGGCAATTTCTCTCCACCTCCTTAGGCTGTGCCTTAGAGGCACTGCTGCTGCCAGGCACAGGGAGGCAGGAACTGCAGGCGGCCCCCTCAGTCCTCACCGCCGTGGGAAACCGCACTGGCCGGGCCCTGCCCTGGTCTCAGGGCGCAGCTCCCCGGGCACGCTCCGCTCCCGCTGCGTCCAGTCTGTGCTCTCCTAGGTTGCCCGTTGGGGGTCTGTGTCAGCGGCTCCGCCAAGCAATGCAGGATCTGTGGGCTCTCAAGCAGCGGGGTGGTGGGGTTTGTGACCCCTAAGGTAGTCCAAATGCAGAGGACAGGTCACTTCTGAAGATGACTCCCAGCTACAGCACCTGGGGCACTACTAGAGGGATGAAGGGAGTTTGTTTTCCAAAGGTGCAGATTTCTGGCTTATCTGCTTAGGTTGGAGGCCTGCAGGGACCTGCAATTCTGCAATAGGGAAGACTGTCCCTGTCTGCGCCGACAACAGGGGTATTTTCCACTTGCAGCCCACAGGAAGGAGACTCCCCTCTCCCGGCCATGGAGCCAGGCCAGCAGGTGATAAGGTGTTTTTTGCTATGCTGCTCTACCGGTCTCTGGATTTCTACTCAGTTAACTCACCTCAATACACAAGTACAGAGCTGTTGCTTTGGTTCTTTGCGGCGGAGCTAGGGAGTGCTATTCAGCCATCTTCAGAATAATTTAAGAAGAATTGTAACACACAAGTGTACAAAACTCATTAGAAGTATAGATACACAGAAGAGAATCTAGGTAGGAAGGATCATAGATATATAAAACAAGCAGAAAATAACAAAACTGACAGGACAGTTGTACCTGTTAGTAATAACCTTGAATGTAAAAAAAAAAGAAAAAGGAAAAAAAAACCTTGGATGTAAATAGATTAAATTCATCCATTAAGAGATAAAAGCTGGCAAAAGGATTGAGAAAGACAAGACAGGCCTAACACGGTGCCTAGAAGAAACTCACTTTGCTGGTAAAAGTGAAGACAGCCTGAGAGCAAAAGGCTGGGGGAGAGGCCTACCCCCAGAAGGACTAGCTAGAGTCAGGTCAGAGAAAGTGGGCTCTAAACCAGAAACTGCAGAAACAAAAAGACAGCGGCAGCCGCTGCAGAGTGATGGACGGGTCGGCTCAGCACAGAGACACAGCTGCACCCAGCAGGGAGCCACCCAAACGGAGCACAATTGCCTGTTTGCTTCACAGTGCCCCTAACTCTCACCAGCTTTCTTCGTTCCTTTTACCTGACTTACTTCAAAAGACCCGTCCTACAGTTCACAAATTCTCTCTTCTGCTGCTTCATTTTCATCAACTTTCTTCTTCAGTTCTAAGGTTCCTGGTCAGTTCTCCCTGGTGAAGCTCTTGTTTCTTCGTATTGTCTGTGCTCATATGCATCTTGCTCAGTTTCCTTAGGAATCACTATTTTAATTTTTTTCCCAAGCATTTCATAATTTCCTTCAAACCAGGATGTATTTCTGGAGATTCAGAATTTTCTTGTAGAAGCATGTTTCCTGTTCTGTCCCTACGGTGATGTGTGCACATCTGGTGTAACAGTTGCTTTTTCCAATTTTATGGAGTAGCTTTCGTAGGAAAAGGTTTTTTTTTAAATATAGCTAGGATACAGAGTGTGAGTTAGGTAGGCTGCTTGGTAGTAGGAGGGCTCGAAAGTTTAGCCTGTGAGTGATTTCTTCAGCTTTGGTTGATGTCAGCAGTGTCCACCAGCACCTCAGCAGTCTCACAGTAAAGTACGACTTTGCAGTGGACTTAGGATTCCAATGGTTCGTGCTCTCTGGTCCCACAGTGAGGCAGTCAGGGTTTGCAAGGGAATGGATTTAATTCAGAATATATAACTTACAGGATTATTTTATAACATTCACCCAAAAAAGTCAAATGCAGAAGAGTGCAAGAGATCTGTCCATGCACGAGAGACCCACAGAATCCAGCTGAGGGCCTGGATCCCACAGCAACGTCCTGCGCAAGTCCAGGTGAATACGTCGAGCCCACGGCAATGTCCTCCATGAGTCCAGCTGGAGGCCTGGAGCCCACGGCTATGTCTCATGCAAGTCTGTACCAAGGATCTGCACTTGGAGGGCCCGAAGGCCAGTGGTGGACGCTAGAAAGTCTGCGCCAGGGGGGTGAAGGATCTGCACAGGAGCCAGGAAGCAACGCTCAAGGTGAGGACTAGTGCTCCCTTACGAAACCGCAGCCATCCTCAGTGACAGCGAGAACCCGAGCTCCTCTGATGATAAGAGCCGACTTCGTATAGGGAAAGCCAGCAGACAGGTTCCTCCAGGAAAATCAACAGGGCAACCTCTTCCCGTCCAGTTCTCTTTTTATGCTGTTGCAACAATCCTCAGGTGGGCCTTCCACGCCCAGCACCGTGCTGGTTCAGTTCAGCTGGGCGTACAAACTGCCCATTAGTTAATCCACCACACACTGGGGCTTGTAACAAGAAATGCCATGTCCTGGTGGTACGCTTTATGAGGGACCTTCCTCCAGGTCCATCAAGGAAAGCACAGCTGTAGCCTCCAGTCCCCAAGCCATGGGAGGTGACGGAGACTTCTCTGGGACCCCAAGGATGAATGTGGAAGATGCCTGGACTTTGGGCACCAGAGGCAAATAGTTCTGGAGCCACAGGATGGTATGTGACCACCCCTAGGTCCCAGGGAATGAGCACAGCTGGTGCTGGGGTCTGTGGCACCAGTAACCATCAACATAGCACCCTGGTCCTGGGAGGTGATGGGGCCATGGCTTTTAGTGCTGTTGGCTACTTTCATGAAGGTGTGGGACCCAGAAGGTACTTCTCCAGGGCCCAAGAGACAAGTGATGCTGCGGCTTTTGGCACCAACTGCTGTAGTCTCCAGCACACAGGCCATGGAGAAGACTGTCCCCTAGGTCTGGGGCCTGTGCAAGTCGCATTCGAGTTTGTGGCACTGGTATCCAAGCTTGGAGGTATACGACCCTGCCCATGGTCCTGTGGCTGTGGGGTCTCTAGTCCTGGGACTGCAGCACGTGGATGGGAACGTTCCTGGGTCACAGAAGGCAAGCACCGGAGAAGCCAAGGCCCTGGTAGCCACAATCCTAGAGCTGCAGGACAGCACAGGTGGTGACCGGCTTGGGTCTTGCTGGGTTTGTTGCTCCAGCAGTGCCAGGCTGGGAAGGGGCCCATCCCTCGTTTTGTGCAGGTGATGCAGGTAGAGCCAAGCAGGTGCTCCTCTGCCGGCGCGCCTCCCTTCTCCCTGGGCAGTAGGAGGTTCCTCCCCACCTTCCACCTGGGGCAAGGCTCGAGATGCAGTTTGCTTTGTCCTTTTAGTAGGTGGCCTTTCTGACTGCCTGCTGCTTAGGTTCCCACCACTTGGGCTCTCTCAGAATCACTCAGTACAGCTTTTCTTTGTTGTCCTGTGGCAGTCCCGCATGCTGGGCACTTCTATTCAGCCATCCTGAATCCTCTTGCTGTAGATTTTAAATTAGATCTTTTTCCTTGATTAAAGTAGCTAATACTCATCCAGGAAAAAAAAATTACTATAAATTCCTTAAAGTACCTGTGAATTTTAATGGGCTCGAAATTAAAAGCAGGTCTTGAGCTTAATCATCAATTGATTTCTCAAACTATTATTCATACAAAAGAATACACACGACCTCATAATTTACAAAACCTTGCTGAGTATGCTTTCTGTAGATACCAGAGGTATTTATGCATAGAATCAATACTGTTTCATTTGTTCAGGAAAATTTTTGCTGGAGACTTTCAATTTTGAGCCCAATGTTAATGAAGAGGAAAAAGGTGAGAATACCTTATGCTTCGCCTCTTATCTTGAAGCAGACATTCTTATTAAATGGAGTTCTGGGGGTCAGGAAAAAGACATTCCAGTCTGACTTGTTAAATTACAACACGTTAATTAAAGATATGAACCACATAGCTCATACTGATGGAACTTATAAATCTATTCACCTTTTTAAAGGGAACAATGAATTCTAAAGCATTAGTATCTTTACCTCGTAATGAACAAACTGGTCCATTTTCTTGATTCTTAGAGCGTTTACTTCTGAACTGACTTGGAATATCTAATGAAAGGTCTGAAGAGGAGATAAAAAACAGCTGTCAAGTTAGTGATTTTTCTCTTCACTGGTGTCATTTTCAAAGGAAACATTAACATCACTACTTTACTAAGACAGTAAAAGCCTACGTGCCAAATGCACCTCACCTAAGAATGGATCAAACTTTCTGGACTCCGTCCCACAGATGAGGCAGTTGACCTCGTTCTGGAGAACGCCTCCGAATATAGCGGTGACAACAGTTGATGCTCCGTTTCTAAAGAAACCACCACAGGGGAACATCACAATAACAATCACTTCTTTCACATTTAAAAGCCTAAAATATCTGCCAAAACCCTATCAGTGCTACTGGGAAACAGATATGTCATTTATATTTTTAAGTTATAAAAATGTCAGAGCTATGCAGACAAACGCTACATAAAAGGTTTAAGCCACTGGCTTCTCCCAGCCTGTCTTCTGGTCCCACCAGTTTGTCCAGAAGTAACTCACCCCGGCCATTTGTATTACAACGAACAGTTGTGCACACGACTTATTATGCAGTCATATTATGCATATGACTGTGTGTAGGCAAGATGGCCCCTACCCAATATAGCCCTCAGAAAAGAAAAAAACTGTTTTATGTCGAAATCATTCTGAGGCCTTCATGGTACAGGGAATTCCTGCAACTGCTTGACTTTGAATGTGAGGCAATGATGAAATTGAGTATGTATTTAGTAATTACTTCTGGAGATGTGCTGACTTACATGGACAAGCCTTTTCAAAAAGCTCACCTAAAACAACAATATAGATCGTTTCCTTGTGGAGATCAAACACACACCACTGTAAGAACAATGAGAAAGCTACAGCCTAGTGTCGCATCCCCTCAGGCATCCAGGTTCCAGCAAATGCAAACAAGAACACTGGGGAGAGCACCGGAGGCCTGGTGCCAAGACGAAGCGAGCCGGAGATATAGAGCACCTTCCCCAAAACAAAAGCACTTCAAGTGTTTGCCGCGACTGTACAGCGTGAAGTCGGATTTCACCTGCTGCTTGCATCGTGCTCCTGTACTTCATCCTGGGCAGCGGCACACATGTCACAGAATGGACACCATGGGCCCAAGCAGAACATGGCACCCGCAAGGGTAGAAGGCACCTGGACGGCACTGACCACATGCAGCCCCCATTCTGTATGCTTCCCATTTATTGAAGCCATCCTTACAACAGCTCTGGAAGGTACGGTACCCCCGTGTGCACACCAGGAAGCTGAGCCCCCAAGGTTAATTAACACAGCTCAGGGTCACACTATGCTCCTCCTCTAATTTGACCAAGATCATATCAGTGGGCACTGAGGTGGCCTTGGTGTGTGCTGCCCTTAACAGCACGTAGCAAGGGCCTGCAGTGAGCCTTGTGCACCCAGGAGCTATGTGAGCCCGGAAACAGGACACTGCAAAGAACCCACCGCAGTGAGGGAGCAGAGATGCTATTTGAAAACTCTGATCCCTTCTCCAGCAAAAAGAAGATGCTTTTACTATTATCTTTAGAAGTGCTGTTTGGAAGGTATACTGGGTTAAGTGAATTAAAAGAACACAAGCCACCTGGGAAAAGCATTAAAGTGACCATTTCAGGTTTTAGGTTTATACCTGTACCATGAAGAATGTCCCTAAAATTACTGAAAACAGAGGGGCTACAACTAACCCTCCAAGCTGATGCTCACATTCAGAGTTGCCTTTCATTAAAATGGCAACTGCTTCACTAAAAAGTAGTACATTTAAACTCAATGTAGGTCTTTATTACCACTTGTCAGAGGAAATCAAGTTTTCACCACCTGACATGTATGGCATTAAGTTTACATATACTGTAGTCTTAAAACAAGATTCATAGATAAATTTCAAAATTGCTATTCCATTATACTTGCACATTAAATTGAAATTTTGACTACTTGGGTTCGTATACTGCAGAGACCTTTGACACTGACGCTAACGACTCCCTACATATTAAAAAGAACACGTTTGCCCCTTCCTCCACACCCACCACCTTCAGTAGGGGTGGGAGTGTTTGTATCAGTAAAGACAGATCTTTTATAGGAGATATTTTTCTAGTTTTAGAAAATATCCTTAGATCCTGAAATACCTCCTCCAATGCACTGAAGGAAATAAAGGTAATCTTGAAATTTTTAGTAATTTATGATATATTTTTCTGTCTATTCCTAACTAAAAAAAACAGAGCTTCTAATTACTATTCTTTAAAATGCCACGAAAAGATTTACAGACTAACATGGAAAAGCCTGTAAGTATCAGACAAGGAGACTGCACAAGGGCGCGGTGGGCATCACACAACAACGACACACCCTCTCCATCACACGCCTCACGCCACAGACTGTGCGGACAGGGCCCGGTCGCGTATCCTTTACGTATCAATGTGCCACGCTAAACACAAGTAGAAGTTTTCGCGTCACACTCGTTTTAGTTTGGTGCTGCTGGGAAAACAACTTTACCAAGTCAGAAGTTGTTCCCGTTCTCTAGTGGAACCACAGGTAGTAGGCCCTAGGCGGAAAGCACCCTGAGGGGAACAGAGGGCACACGGCTGCCCTCCTCCGATGCTGCCAGGGTAGCTGTGAGCCTGCTTTGTCACTAAAAAGCTCTGCTCCTTCTAAGCCAGATTTGTTGACTACGAGGTGATACCACACTGACCTGTACACATCACTCTCCCCTTTCTCTGAGAAGTTTGTCTTCTTATAAATTCCCTTCCTGTACAGATCAACACTGAACATTTTTCACAAATTTGAGCAGAAGGAAACTGTAACTTGACCAAAATCCAGTCTAAAATATCACAAAATTATGCCTTCCTCAAGCAAAATAAATGACCTAACCTCAAATTATGTTTTGGGCTATTAATACATGGGGAAGCCATGCAAACAGTTTTGTTTTTTTTTCATAGTGAGAGGCAAGAAAAAAATTTCTGAAAACTTATAAATTCCTCAATTTCATTAAGAAAGAGAAACTTGAGGAAAATTCACTCAAGCTTAAGCTTTGGTTCCAGTGAATGTGTGCAATTACTTCGGTGTATAAAAATGAAGTTACGCTAGGGAGGCAGCTCAGAGGTAAGGCATATGAGGCCCTGGGTGCAGCCTCAGCCCTGCATTTCAAGTAAGTGAGGTCTCCTACGTGTTGTCCAATACACCTGCAGGGTAGTCTTGTGAATGCCAAACCGTTAAAACATTTTCCACTTTTGCAGGTTTTCAAATCATCTGTACCAAGAACTAACAGCCAGAACTACACCAGCATGCAAATGCAAGACCCTTCTAGTCTAGAAGCAAGAGACACATGCTTCTGCATTTGGTTACAAAGCTCAAGTGCATGGAAGGTTCAGCAAATGTCTAGGGAACTCTCTACTTTCCATAATGAATCTAACATCCAAGAGAATGTCACAAAAGAAAACTGAATCTTACATGCAGCACTTGTTACTTGCAGACAGAGAATTCTCTTGCAGAATTGCTGATCGGGAAACCCCATTGAAACCACCCTGAAGTTCCAGGTGTAGGTGGTCCAGAAGGTAGCGCATGAACTCGTGGGCGTCCTGCTGCTGGTAGCCCCTGGAAGCAAACAGAGACAGTCACTGGAGGGTCTGCCTGCCCCCACACTCAGACAAAGTGCTGCTGCCTCAGCCTTCGCCCCAACAGCTCCACACGTAACACACAGGATCTCTCTTCAGGAAAAAATACTACTCAAAAGTCATTCTGTAAACCATGGACTAGAGCTAACCGAATTTGTAATGATATTCTCCAGGACGTCTCCAGACTTAGAGCTGGAGAAGAAAAAAGGAGGCATGTGACTTACCTAGCAAGTCCTAAGGGAGAGAGTAACAGGCCCAAAGCCTGTATCTCCTGGACAGACCCTGCAGCTTCCCACTACCCCACAGGCCCTCTTTAGAAGAGGCTCAAAAGGTAATGTTTCACATCTTACCCTCAGCAGAAAACTAGATATAAACTCCAAAAATAGGACATAAAAAAATGCAGAGCTCCATAGATTGAAAGATACTAATTATTAAATGCTCACAGAAAGGAAGAAAACCTTTAAGAAGTTTAAGATGTTCAATATTCTATATTTGCACCTCTGAGCCGAAAGACAGTTTTAAATGAAAAACTGTACTGACTTGCCAGGTGTGGTGGCGCATGCCTGTAATCCCTGCACTTGGGAGGCTAAGGCAGGTGGATCACCAAAACTTGGAGGCCAGCGCGCATGTATGTGTGTGTGTGTAAAACAATGTATTGTATTACTTACACTAATACAGATTAGAATGCACATTGAAAACAACTGACACAGCTGGCTGGAAGGTATGGGAGATTCGGATAAATGGATCAAGATTATGAGATTATATATATATATAATGAGATATAGGTTATAGATATATAGATAACACATCTATAAAACTGTAACAGGAAAGACTTCTGTCTAAGTTTATCTGGTGTGTTTATGAGTCAGAACCACCATCATGCTTCCATTCCCCACCACTTTTTTTGTGTGTGTGTCTTTTTGAGACAAGGTCACGCTATGCAGTTCAGGCTGCCCTTGAGCTCACTTTGTAGCCCAGGCTGGCCTCAAACGTCAATCATCCTCCTGCCTCAGCCTCCTGAGTGCTGGGATTACAAGCGTGCACCACCACGCCCAGCTACCAGTTTCCTTTAATACATGTATTCTTCCCTTTCCTGAAATGTCTGAAAACAATCTCTCTAATCACTGGAACTTAAAGTCGGAAGTCAAACTATTATCTTTAACAAGTTAGTATGAAGGTTATGTTGGTGTATTTCTTGTAACGCTCAACTGAATAAAAATGTCAAAACTCACAGTCAAAAGCATTTGAGGTTGGCAGTTAAAAGTTATAAACCCGAGGAAAGTGCTTTAAATATTTTCAACACTGTATCTACTTGTCTTCATGACTGGTAGTACCTGACATTCTCTCACATACAATTTCATTCTCTCCTCAAAATAACCTAGTATCTAAATCATCATCTTCCTAAAATGTACCACAAAAGCCAATGCTTTGTAGTTATAAAATTTGCATTTTAATTGGGTAAACAAATACCCACGTCCTTTTAACAAAACAACCTGGCCAGGTGTGGTGACACAAACCTATAATCACAGCTCTTGGGAGGCTGAGGCAAGAGGATCACCGAGTTTGAGGCCAGCCTAGGCTACATAGTGAGACCGTCCCTCAAAAAAAAAAAAAATTTGCCTGATGTACATTAATGGATTTTTCAACCACACCATCATTCTCTTTTCTTGTATCAAGTTTCCAAGACCATTACAGATACATTTTCTTCAACGGGTGTGTATTATGAGTTTCTGTTTTAAGCTGTGGAATTTTATCAGAAAACAGTCTCTGGTTCTTCTATTGAGACTTGGAATTTTTCTGATTCTGACAAAAGACAATTTACACACCCCTCTTTTAAATAAAGAGCCTACTTGGCTTTATTTTTTTATTCTAGAACTGGGCAAACGTCATAAAATATAATGTGTGTTCCCTCTAATTCAATTTTCAAAAATTTAAGTATTTCTTTGGCTTCTCTGAAAGCCTTAATACATAAGATTTAACAAGCTAAATTGAGCAGACTTCAGTTATCTTCTCCCAGACTACGGGACGCCTCTGCAGGCCACTCCCATCCGCGTTTTGCGCTCCTGCTAAGGGGCGGCCCCTCACCTGCACGTGCACTGTGCGATTCTGTACGCATCTTTCAGCAACATCACACCGGGAGTCGCTAGCAAACCAATGAGAAATGCATTTGTGAAGAACTCTTATCTCTGTGACACAGCAGACTCAACAGAAGAGAATACAGAGAGAAGTAACAGGGCTCCAGTTGTAAAACAGGCCCTTATCTTCCCTTGGCTTGACCCCAGACGAGATTCCCCCTTTTCCTCCCGCACAGAAAGAGCAGCACAAGAGCTGTCCTGAGATGCTGTGGGAAGTCATCACTGGCGCGCACACTGCAGATGCGGAAACCTGAATAAAAGGTCCTGATGTGCCCTTTCTGGACCGGGGCCACGGAAGAGACACAGCCCTGCAGCACCGTGTACAGGAAAAGAGCAGCAGCTGTCTTTTCACGAAAATTATGGCACAACGAAGACAACTAACTTAAATGTAAAGACAAGAAGTGTTCAGAGAAAGAGTAATCAAAGGAAAGGTACTTTGATGCACATGCTCAGATGACAAAAGCCAGCACTCCAAATAATGAAGCAGACATCACAGGACACACAAGCACAAACATCTGCGAGGTGCCTCGTGTGCATAAGTGACATACACCTGTGCGCTGTGGGCTAGTCTGTGTTCTAGCCGTGCCAATACACAACCCGTGAGTGGCAAAGACTGATAAGTAGCACGTGCCTCTGCTTTAACATTCTACAAAGAAGTCCCACATGTTACCTTGTGCATGTTAGAATTTTAGTAATTTTCATATTTAAAATATCCTTAATATTCATAAAAGAAATCTAAATTACTGTTTTGAGCAACAGCTGCAGAACTGAAATACACTGAGTTATTTTTTCCAATATTTGAAACCAGTCATGGCTGAGTCCCTTTAAGACAAGGACACCAGAAAATGAAAATGACAACAATAAGCATACAATCACACATTTCTTAGAAGAACTATTATTTAAATGTAAAATACCAACAACATAATATTCTGAGAGTCCTTCTCTATTTACAAATATTCCAAAAGATTATTAAAGTATTAAATGCAAAGATGCATTGTCTACAAAGATCTTTTGTATTGTCTGTAGCCAAGAATAACAGCTAAAGGATAATTGTAACAACTAATTAAAAAAAAACCCTCAAGTTGTTCTGGGAAGCCAAAGTAAATAAATCAGGTTGTATATGCAATCAGAAATAGCATAAATGATATGAAAAGCAAGCAAATACTGTCAGGACCTGATCTGAATTATCAAGAGACTTTCTTGGAGGGTTTGCATTAAACTGGATCATAAAGAGATAGGGATCTCAAGGCAAATACCATAAGCAGAAGCAGATGACATAGAAAGATAACCAATTCAACAAGAAAATCAACGTTAAAGGAAAAAAAAAGGAGTAACAGGCTAGCACAAGACTATCAAAATCACAGAAGCACATACTCTTTAACCTAGCAAGTCCTCTGAGATAGATTATTCACTGCAGCCCTGCTTGGAACAGGAAAGATTAAAAATAACCCCTATAACCACTGGCGGGGATCGTGCGGGTTAATCTTAACTGTCAGAGTGACCGGATTAAGAGGCTCCTGGGGCGGGGGCTGGGCCCCAGGGCCTCTCTAATCATCAGGGGCTGATCCTCTATGTCCACAGCTGAATGTGCTGTAGGAAAGCGGGCCCTGTGGGAGGAGGTAGTCACACAGAGGGTCCTTTGGGAGGGGACATCTTGCACTGGCACTCCGCCCTGCTGTGCTCTGCTCCGCTCCGCTCCATGTCTTTTACTGTGATGTTTCTTCCTTGGCAATGGACTGAAACCTCTAAAGACATGAGTCAAATAAACCACTTTGTTCTTTAAGGTGGCCCCAGCAAAAGGAAGCTGACCAATCGGGAACTGCTATGTGACTTATGACACAAGCATAAAATGGACCAAGGGGCTGGGGATATAGCTCGGCAGCACAAGCCCCTGCCTGGCAAGCACAAGGTCCTGAGTTCGATTCCCAGCAACTGCCCCCCAAATAAAATGGACCAAGGCAGCTACATACTACTATGAACCATGGTCACAGATTGCCACAAAAGATACATAAAAATCTGGTATCCATGGTTGCCTCAAGGAAATTGCTAGGGAACAGAGTAAGAGAAAATATTCACCGCATATTTTTTAACCTTTTGAACTTTGTGTATCTTGCCTATTAAACACTAAGATATTTTTATAGAAAACATGACAGGAAAAGCTGACACAGTAGGAAGGCAGAAGTGTAGTAAGCAGATATCTATGCTGGAAAAGGTCAAAGCCTAAGGGAAATTTTCTCTGCTAGGTAGCTAAATTCTGGTTAGACCGGGGACAGATGCATGTTTGTATTTCAGAGTCCTCACATCTAAGGGACCAAGTTCTTTAGAGATGGTTGTATGTTAATCAAGGGAAATAGGCTTCTTAAAAAGTTCTGGCTTGTGATTAGAAGTAATACAGAAACGTAACTCAAGACTCACTGTGCTTCCAAACAGGCAGGTAGGGAGAACCTCAACCTGCGCAACCTGGTGGTCTTTCCTAAAAGTGTTTTCCCTCCATCAGTAGGAATATTAGGATGCGTAAATTAAGCAGATAAACACCAAACCATGCCCACAGGTGGTTTACAGAAACTAAAAGGGGCAGATGGAGATGAGGGAAGGTTCAGAGGAAAAGTAGAGTTGTTCTGTATAAGAACAGAGTAACGTTTGCACGCTTTCAAGGGTGAAAGACCAAGGTCACCCTAGGGAGAAGGGTATAAGCTCAGTGGGTCTCACTCGAGGCACGTGAGCAAATTACTGCTGACAACCAATATTAACCAAGCCTGGAAGCACCTGGCTTCTAGTTTGGGTAATAACACTTCCCATGTACATAAGACTGAATACAAGTTGCTTTTCACTTTCTCAGTTTTACTTCTCTAAAATGGGGTAACCCTCCCTACCTTGTGGGGAATTTTGCTGTGGTTTGTTTTTTAATGAGGATCAAATATAAAATACTTCACGCTCACCACATTGTAGACATTCAATAAATGGAAACTATTATTATACAAGAATAAAATGCAGAGTCCCAAAATAGCAGCGCAGTGAGTGCCAGCAACTCAGCTTCTTCAGGGCAAAGCGTCTAGAGGGAAACAGCCTGGAGAGGAACCGAACTGTGCGGACACTCCCCACGAACCGTGAGGGAACTGACAGGGAAAAAACGGGGTTAAGTGATACAGAAGAAACATCACACCGCAGCGGAGAGGCTGGGCAGCTGCCAGCTGGGAGGCAAAGAGAAACTAACAAGTATTTTGCTCACAAGAACAGGGGAACCGCAATAGGACTGGAAGAATCACCTGCAGTTGGACCTAAACACATGACTCTTTGAGGGGATATCGAAACACAAAATATCCTCTGGAAAGTCCAAATATTAACTCAACTCAAAATACTCCAATAAAATCACACCCCAAAGCAACCTTCTCTTCTGACCTACCATTCCCTTCCCTTCAAACCGGCCCCTTGGCATCTAAAACTCCTCATCCAACCACCTCTGATTCTCCCACCCCACCTACCTGATTACACAACAACCACGAATAATAAACCGTCAGCATGCACAGAGTAGACAAAGGGGCAAGAGTGCCTGCAAGGACCATCGGAGAGAAGTGTTGCAAGACCGAATCTGTGCACGCTGGCAGAACCGGAAGTATTTCAGCAAATCGTAGGGACAAAGTGGCAGTCACTTGAAGTAAAGAACAGAAGGAGAAAATACTCGCTCTGGACATACGAAGCTGAAAATTATTCATGGAGAGGCGACATCCTACTAAGATCCTCTCCATCTAAGCTGCAAACTCTCATTTTGCTAGTCCCCAACCTGCAGTAACCCCCCCAAAAAAGGAGAGGAAAAAGGAAGGAGCTACACATAATTTTACAGATCTATGCAAGTAGAAATACACATAGGAGAACGGGGAGGCAAGGAAAGAAAAGATCTCCGAACCTCCCCAACTCTCCCAAGGCTGAGTAAGAGGTCACAAAGGGAGAAGGAAACAAATACCAGGCACCAGAAATCTATGAAACGTTCTTAGAAGGGCTGACAGGTTCTCCCCAAGTTGCTAGGCTGCCTGGACTGGGCCCAACCGTGCCACCCTCCTGCCGTAGTCTCCCAAGGACTGGGACTGTGGCCATGCACCACCACCCTCAGCTGCTGCTACCTTGGGGAGCACCCTAAAAGACGCGACCAGCCTTGTCAGAGCAGGAGGAGGTGGGAACAGAGACTGTAATATCACGGGTTATTACTGATCTCACTGGGACTTTTGTAGCTGGAATAACAAGACAGTGTATTATGGCAATTATTCTTTATAAGATTTCAAAAGAATCAAGGAAATTTTGTCCACTATGGTTTCCTAGCACATATAAGCACCTTATTTTTAGCAAACAGTACTCTTTGTTAAAGACTTTTCTACAGAGCTGGGTGTGGTGGCGCACGCCTATAATCCCAGCACTCGGGAGGCTGAGGCAGGAGGATCACTGCAAGTTTGAGACCAGCCTGGGCTACAAAGTGAGCTCAAGGCCAGCCTAAACTACATAGTGAGACCCTGTCTCAAAAAGACCAAAAAAGAAAAAAAAGACTTTTCTAATGTCCATTATATCTGTGTATTCTCTTTTTAAAACATCCATTATTCTCACTTTATCAGAATTTTTTAGAGGCAGTGTAAAGACTAACAGTAATGTTTTTAAATACCCTTTAATACTTACCTAAAATTGGGCATAATCTTCCAAACAACATAAAACAAGGACTCTGGACTAAAGGCGGTCTGGCTGCCTTGCCATAAAGCGCACAGTGTCTTTCTGAACTCCTCCACCAGGGACCTGGGAAAGAGGAAGGTACTGTTAGCATGGTGGGGCACATTTCAGCGTGTAATCTGCTGTTGTCTAAGACACACGATGAATAAGGAATGAAGAGAGGGCGAGTCTTTCCTAGGCTGATTCTGACAGCTAAGTAAGTGCATCTCAGAAGCGCATGTAAATAGCAGTAATTACTGACAAAATTTGTTTTTTAACCACATGGTTAATCTGAGTGTGCCAAACTACTGCCATATTTGTACACTTTGAATTTTTTTTAAAAAAAACAGAAACAATAAAGCAGTGGATAATTTCCAAGCCAAATTACTTTGGAGTGTCAATTTCAAACACCTCGGCAGCAGGACCTCGTCCGTCTCCTGAGGTTTTTCTTCTGGCCCCTCTCCAGGAGCGCTTCCCCGCCTCCAGGCCAGCACCATCTGTGCTTCCGCCTCGGAGTCTGTGCGGCGCGAGCGCTAAGGCTCCAGTGTGCATCAGTGAGTCTCAAACCCTTATCTGAGAGTCGGATTTCCGCGTGACTTTTCAGTTCACGCTTCCCCATTTCCACCCAGTGTTTTCTAGCGGAGGGTCTCTCGTCTCTTCAAACTGTTCAGTGCTCGCTCCTCTCCGAACTCTTCCTGCTGCCCCCAACATCTGCTCTGCACTTCTCTCGAACAACAGAACTCCCTTTTTTGGTCAAGCACGTGAACTCCATTGAGCGTGCCCAACTTCTGGAAAATTTCCTTAAAGAGAAAGAGGAGTTCTTCTCCTCAACCCCTTCCTTTACCCCCGAAGCCAGCAGGAGGATGGTGGCGCTTGGCCGCTATCTGAGACGTGAGGACAAGAGCCCACCTTAGGGCACGCAGGGCAGAAGCCAGGAGCCCTATGACTCTGTGAAACAGTCCTGGACAATCTCCGACCTTCACGAGAAAATAAATCACAGATGTTTAAGTCACCATTAATTTGGGTTTTCAACGGCTAAACTGACCCAGTCAACAACTTCTGTGTGTCTTGATGGAATCGCCTAGGCATGGAGACTTGATTGGTGGATCCCTCAGAGAACCTCATGCGAACCCCAGTAATCTCGTCGTCTGACTTCCTGGGGCCAGACCTTCTCCCACATTTAGGGGACTCCCCACAAGCTTGCTGAGTCTGGGTGGAGACTCCGAGCCTGCCTCTACCCCTGAAGCTGAAACGGCTGCTTACTCAGCCTCCCTTGCAGCCTGGATCCCACCCATACGAAGCAAAGTTATGGACACAAAGAAGCAGGACAGGACCCACCTCCCCCTGGGTCACCGCCATGGGCACCCTCTAAGAGCGCGGTAGCAGCTGGCCCAGCAGCAGTCACTGGCCTCAGGGCCAGAAGTGCTGTGCACAGAGGCAGCGGAGTCCTGGCAGGACGGTCCTGTGGGTGGCTGTAGCTGGGAGGCTGGCTTCCCAGACCCCGGACCTGACTTTCTACCTGCTACCCTGGCAGCGGTCGGCTCCCCAACAGCCCTTCAGCAGACTCCTGTTCTGTCTGAATCAGCCAACGGGGCGACAGCAGCCTGTAACCAGGCCCTGACTGACACCGATTCATGGCGCGCCGGTTCTGCCCCTCCCCTTCGTGCACAGGCACCCTTCCCGCCTCCTCCACTGCCACCTCCTTCACCCCAGCTGAGTGCAGGCGCTCCACAGCACCACGCCCATCGTCATTCCGCGCCCTGCCAATGCCCGGCTTTAGTCCACACATCCCGGGCCCTTTCTGACAAGTGCTATCCTGCTCTCACTCAGCCACTGAGGCAAGGCAGTGCTGGCCTAGAAAAGGCTCAGGATGAGCAGGAATGGGGGTGGGGAGCTGAGTGAACATGAAGCATAGACAAGTTATAAATCACAGCTCCATTTCAGTGATGATAACAAAAATATGCACCCTGTAATCGTGATAATATGCAGATCTTTTGAGCCCTACCAGGCTGCTGCAATGAATCTGAATATATGGCTGGTCCTTAATGATTACTTGTCTGTTTTTTTCCCTATTCCATATCAACTAAAAATTGACTGTACTGCGCTGAAATTAATTTTCTCACTACAAATTAATTTTAGTAGCCACGACAGGTCTGCCCGACACTGTGAGACGCAGAACTTCGCATGAACAAATGACACTCACACCCATCTGCACCTAGAACTCTGCTGCGTGTATGGGTGTTGGTGTTACAATGCCCGAGTCTGCAGTGCCGGCGCTAAATCTAGCCGTGCCGTTCTAGCAAACAGAAACAAAAGGATCCCAGCATTATTAAGAATGCCAACCGGATGCTTCAACTCAGACAGCACAATAGGAATCACCAGTGAGAGTCACTTGCTCGCCCTCGAAGCTGGGAAGGACACACTGGGGTCACTCACACGCTGCTGTCCCCTTGGCTCCTGGTGTGGTACGTTCTCCTTCCCGCCGTCTTCCCATTCCTTAACTCCACCGCGGGCAGTTCTTTGAAATAACAGCAAAACTGCTCAATGTTACTATTTTAGAGGGAAGAAAATTATTTTTTAAAAAAAAGAAAGAAAAGGAAAGAATTTAATAGGACTACAAACAAAGGTCTATGAAAATTACATATGGGTTCTAAAAGTATGATCTTTCAACTGTCTCACTTAAATTGTACTCCATTTAATCTCCTGCACCGAATTTCTTCCGCACTCTGGCTTTTAGTTCACTCTGAGAAACAGACAACTGTGTAGAAATGAACAAAGAACTTTAACGGCTCTCCTCGGAAACATAATCTCCAGTTTCCCCTCTACGTATAGGTCGTCGCCATCTCTTCTTTCAGGGTGCTTGATTCCACATGGTGGCGCCTTGGTTCACAAACGCCTTTGCTTTGTGAACAATCTGGTTCTCAAACAGAAGCACCTGGCCAAGTTTTGTTTTTCGGTACGAACTCTGCATCAAACACACCGTGGCCACCTTTTCTAGAACTGTTGAAGGAATTAAGTTGGTGAACCGAAGCACCACTATATATTCAATAATTTCCTCAAATAGAAATAAATAATGAAGCCATCCATTTTATTTAGATATACTACATAGAACTATAAGGAGATTTTAATGGCAACTATATTTTTTCTTTGAGCAAAAAAGAGTAGACAAGCAGCAGCACTTTTAAGAAGACATCAAATACCGCTCTGCTCCTTATGAGCGCTATGATTTGGGGAAGACAATTTACCCTGGCCTTGGATGCCTCATTGAAATCTAAAAGTAAACAATTTTCAAAATAATTTCTTAGGGCTGGGGATTTAGTTCAGTGGCACAGTGCCTGCCTGGTGAGCATGAGGTCCTGAGTTCGAGTTCTAGTATCTCCCCCACAAAAAAAGACAAAATAATTTCTTCTACTGAGGTCAGCCTTGTTGGCTACTTAATTTGTACGGTTTGTCTCACTTTCTTTTTTGAGTACCAGGAATTAATTTTTTTTTTTTTTTTTTTACCTCATGCTTGTCAGGCAGGCGCTGTGCCACTGAGCTGTATCACAGCTCCCATTTGGAGATCTTATGACTTAGCTGACTAAAATACACTCACTCGACCAGAATGGCTACAGCCCAGGGACTGCAAACTCTGGATCATATCTACCCCCTGGCCAGGGAGCTTTTACATCAGTATAGTGAATTTTACATTTTTAAAGGTTTGTCTTTAAAAATGAAAAGGTAAAGAGGAGAAAACCTGGGAGACACACATATGGCTGAAAAACTAAAATATTTACTATTCTGTCTTTTATAGTAAAAATCTGCTGATCCCCTCTCTAGCCTATTCAATAAACAATGAGAAAGAAACAATACCAGCTAAAGCACTGCTCTAAGCACTTTAGACCACTTATATTATTTAATTCTGGCTCCTTCCTTTGAGGTAGAAATGGTTATTCCCAAGTTTACTGATGAGGAAACGAAGGCACAAGGGGTCGGGGTAACTTGCCCCAAGCTACATGACTAACTTTGTGGCCGCAGATATTAGATCTGAGGCCAGAGGCCAGAGCCTTTGCTCTGAGTTTTTACTGCCAGATCCTGGAGCTCTGATTCTGGTGTTACCTGAGTGACTGAAGGATGGCGTTCATGAAACACGTGTTGCCCAGATTCCGAAGACCTGTAGCACAAATGGCAGTGGTACTTCCCTGTAAAATGGAACGAGGGACCATCAGTCATACAAGGCTGCCCACTCCAAACATCAAAACCAAGTGAAGGCCTCTATTTGAAACTGCAGGACCAAGATAACCTACAAGTGTTTTTTTGTTTTTGTTTTTGTTTTTTTGCAGTACTGGGGATCAAACTCACAACCTTGCGTTTGCCAGGCAGGCGCTTATGCCACTGAGCTATAGCCCCAGCCCCTACAAGTGGTTTTTATTTGGTTTCCATTTTCTTTTTAGTACTCGGGATTGAATCCAGGGTCTCTGCACTGAGTTGTACCCCAGCCCTTTATTTTTTCTTTTGAGACAGGCTGCTATCTTGCTCAGGCTGCGTGGGAATTTGTAATCCTCCCTCAGCCTCTCAGACTTCTGGGATTACAGGTGTGCATCATCTTTTTTAGTTCAATGATATGTCAAACAAACGCTAAGGTAGTCTCTTTGTAAGTGTATGGATACATTTAGAAGGCAGTTTCTCAGCCTGGAATTGTTCTAAATGAGAGTGTTTTGGTTGAAAGATTAGGAGGAAATAAGCATTGACAAGTAGCATGGAGTACCAACAAAATCAGGAAAAATGAAGTTTAAGATGATGTCTTTATAAGATTCTATTCAAATTAACAGAAATAGAAAAACTATACATAATACCCCAGTATTTTTGCCCCTAACCCTTTAACTCTAAGCCTTGCACACATGACCAATATGTATTTTCCTAGCAATGGGAGTTGAACCTTAAAAACTACCTGTAGTGCCAGGTGTGGTAATGCACACCTGTGACTTCAGCACACTTGAGGCAAAAGGGTCACTGTGAGTTTGAGGGCAGCCTGAACTGCACAGTGAGCCTTTGCCTCAGTAAAAACAAAAACAAACAGAAAACCTATCTGTTGATGGTTGTATCTACACATCCCCCACAGAGCCACCGCAGGCATAGATGGGATTTTCAAAGGTGGCTGGCTCTGTGATGCTGGGATTAAGGGCGTCCCACCCTGGGTGTGACTGGGTGGCACGTAAAAGACAGCAAGAGGGCTGCTGCTGTCACTTGCTGCTGCTGTTTCTGCTGCTGCCGCCTGCAATGGACTTCAGTGGACTGTTCGTTTCTCCTCTGTGCTGCCCCTCTGCCCTGCCACCCTACCTGAGAACAGCTACCAACTGAAACTTCTACAAACTGTGAGCTAAGTAAGTCTTTCCTCCTTTAACTTGTGGGTGTCAGGCATTTTGTCTCAGCAAGGAGAAAAGTAACTAAGACACTATCTGAATATCTTTTAAAGACTGAGGCTTGATTTTCTGATGTTTTGTTCTGGGGGCTGAACCCTGGGCCCTTCACGCTGAGTCACACCCCTAGCCCTTTCATAAATTTTTTGTGACAGCCTCACTTAGTCAGTAAATTGCCCAGGCTGGGCTGGAACTTGCAGTCCTCCTGACTCAGCTTCTCAGAGTGCTGGGACTGGAGGCATGCACCACCAATACCCAGCCTGAGGCTTGGTTTTCTGATTAGTTCTACAAATGCACTTCAATGTCTGAATACTATACCAACAAGGTAAAACTACCAATCTAACCAAAAGTATCTCTGAGGGCTAGGGATATAGCTCAGCAGCACAAGCACCTGCCTGGCAAATGCAAGGTCCTGAGTTCGATTCCTAGTACCAAAAGAAAAAAAAAAAAAAATAGAGATGTGCCCTAAAGCATCTCTGCCCATAATTCTGGTGGCCACAAGACCACATTAGCCATTTTTTCAAAAAAATCATAAGACTTCATGTCCAAACACAGCTAGCACGACAGCAAAAGGGTAGGTGCAGGACAAAAATAATGATTCATTTAAAATATTTAATGATCTTTAAATGTTGTTGATCTGTTAATAGCCATATACCACTATAACAGATGGCTTCCAGAGCGAGGGTGCATGTTCTTCTATGGGAAATTACATTAATGAGGTCCTAGGAAATAAAACTTACTGAAGGTTCAGACCCATACAGCTTGCCCAAGGGACCTCTGAGGTCCCACAGAAATGGAGTGCAGTAAGTGGGCAGGCAAGAGGAGGGAGCTGTTTCTAAGCAGAGGCGCACAGCAGCAACTCTGACGGGAGAGTAATGACAGGTGTACTCACGGGCCTGCATCAAGAATCATCAGTACAAGGGGCAAATATTTTGTAAAATATTCCAAATTCAAGGCACAGGTTAATAAAAGTTTATGAGACAACATTAAAAGTTATAGTTGTAGGGGGCTGGGGATTTAGCTCAGTGGCACAGCGCCTGCCCGGCAAGCACAAGGTCGTAAGTTCAATCCCTGGTACCGGAAAACAAAACAAAACAAAAAGTTATCGTTGTAACAAAACAGCAATTAGATCTCAACTAACTCTTATATTTAAATAAATTTTACTTACATTTACTTTTAATAACTTGCTGTTTAGTGATGAGTTCTCCAAAAATTTTCTCTTCCTATGCCTGTCAGCTGTGAACGCTGAGCTATTTAAACATAAACAGAGAGTCAAAAAGACATTAATATATCCATGCTACACCTCAGGCGAAAGAAAAATTCGAGTCAGCCACAACATCTAGGGCAGAGGTGGCGAACCTATGGCACGCGTGCCGCAGCGAGCTGTTTCTGTCACTGAAAGCTCTAAAAGGTTCACCATCACCGGTCTAGGGCATGGGGCCCTGCCTGGCTCTTCAGTCAGGCCATCAAGTGACCCATCAGGCCATGCGTATTTGAAGTTAACTGGGGCTTTCCATTCCCTTGGAAATCCCCACCACTCCCCAGCAGGATGCCGGCAGACCGCCTGGGAGACGCGCCTTCCCTCAACCTGCTCCTGCTAGCTACCTACTCGGGTATTTGAAGGAAGCTTCGAAAATGAGAAGCTCCATTCCTCACAACAAAAGGAAAAGTCCCATCTGCACTACTATTCTGCACTCTAGAGAGATCTAAGTAACATGCTGTTTCTTTCTTTGGATAAAGGCCTCATATTTCACTATACACTTTACAAGCATGCTCTCATCTGAGTGTGAGGAATTATAAAACTATGGCACTATAGGCATATATAAATGTAGTTGATTCAGCTAAGCTGTAAAGAATATTCAAAAATCAAAATTAGATTAGAAATTTTGAATTAAAATCATTCAAAATTTTCCTTCATTAAAGGGCTATCCTTGCTTAAAACTCATCATAATATTATTCTTTGAAAGGTCACTTTAAAGTTATTATGTATTGGATAACTAACCTGAAGGAAGCAAAAATTATGGCTAAACAACATAAACTTGTTCGTTTTCCAATTCTTTTCCACCTTCTAAAAGTACCAAGTTAATCCAAAATAAACACATCATTGTTTTTCTTTCCAGAATATCCACAAGAACTATAACATCTTTGGAACATCAGCTCTAATGACAATCAGTTGCTTCAGACCTCAAAAATATTCTTCTGACCCTTTACACCTCTCTCACAGTGTCAGTGGCTACAAACTGAAGACATTTCCCTATATGACAGCGCTAAATTATTCCTCAACAACTTGTGTAAGTGCAGAAATTGAGTAACAAATGGTTGTTAGTAAAGACACATTGCCATTACTCCCCCTCACTTTTATTTTTTTGGTTATTTGAGACTGTCTTGCTATGTGTGTAGTTCCAGCTGGCCTCAAACTTGCGGCAATCCTCCCTCAGCCTCCCCCAGGGCTGGGATTACAGGAATGCACCACCACACCTGGTTCAGTTCTTTTCACTCTGACACACTCATCCCGTTGTTCTTGGTAGCTGCTGAAGCAGTTCTGGAAGTCCTCTTTTGAGTCTTTGAGGTTTGATCAAAAATACACTAGATGTTGCTACCTGGTGCCACCCTACCAAAAGGCAGGCTCACAAGAACCTTACAGTGTGTCCTCACCCGCTTTATTCACCAGATTTGCCGCTGTATGTGTGACCTATGACTCAAAACGGCCATGAAATGTGAATGTTTTGAATCAGTTCAGGACACTGAGGCAGCCACATCAACACAACTGCAGACACTCACAAAAGAGGACTTCCAGAACTGCTTCAGAAAGTGACGAGAATGAAGGGATAAGTGTGTTCAAGCCGAGGGGAAGTATTTTGAGGGGTTAATGGCAATGTGTCTTTGGTACGATAAATGTTTAAGGTTTAACTCCCCAAAAATGAAAGCATTAACTGTATTTTGTGAGTATGCCTCACGTAGGATTTATTTAGTGACAATACCTAATTACCTTTAGTTTCATCCTACAGAAGTTATCACCTTTATCCTGAGGGATTCTCAAAGTGACCGAATTCTCCACATGCACAGTAATATGCTAGCTACTCAGCACCTGTGGCTATTTAAATTTAAACTTAACAAAAGGTCAAGAATTCCATTTCTCAGTGGCACTGACAGATTTTCAAGTGCCCAACAGCCACTGAGGCCACACAGCAGGGTTACAAGGAGAGGGCAGAGCACGGCACGCACCCATCACTCCAGGCAGTGCTACCAGACAGTGCCGCCCAGATGACAGCAAATGTAAGCCGTCTTTAGATTCCAGCCTGTATCTGCTAAACGGGAAAGTAAACTGAGCGGGGTTCTCAACACAGGGAACGGACCTCGAGGGAGACTGCTCGGTGAGGCCAAGTGGAAGGGCAGACAGGGTCGGATGTGACACCTTGTACCTGAAGGAGTAGTCGATGGAAATGAAGCACTTCATAACTATTTAAAAACAAGTATGTTCTGGAAAACCCTCTTTTCTTTTTGACTTAATTTTGATTAATTTACATCAAACTTAAATGGCTCTTTTCCCAAAGAAAACTGTAAGTGGTAAGGAAATATTCTAGTTGCTACCCATGTCTACAATAAACAATGACATCACCACACCAAAGAATATCACACAATTTACTGCAGGAAACTCCTACTGCAGTTTATTGTGAGCAATTCCACATAATATTAAATGGTTTCATTCTGTGTATCTGCACATGCATCTCTAATCCTACACGGATCCACGGTGTTCAGTTCAAATTAAAAGGAGGGGAAAACGCACTTTGAAAAAGAGCCAAAAGCTGACAAGTCAAAAATACTTACACACAAAGTGTGTTCATCTAGATTCTGTCAGCTTCATAATCTATTGAATCTTATCAGCTTTATAATCTATTGGAAGCAATGAGCATGCATCAAGACCCTGGTTAACAAACACTGCACAGTGCTGACTCAAAGAAGGCAGGCTATGTCCTCTCAGTATATATTCTGGAGTATCTACTGCCTTTAAGTTTGCTAAGCACCCCTGCTTTGGACATGTTTTCATAGTACCTTCGGTATATCAACTGCCAAAATAAATCAGATGGCACCTGCTGATCTCGGGTGATTTACAGATTTCACTTGAGTCAGCAGTCATTCCAGGCCCGTGAGTCTATCCACTGGGGCTTCAAAGGCATTGCTATTTGGGTTTCTACTATCACTTCAATTTCGGGTCCAGTAAGTTTTATCTGAACAAGCTATCTGGTTGTACCAAAAAAAAACCTATTCACATAAATTCTTCAATTTCTTTATGATCTCAAAATTCAAGGCTCTTTGTAATTTCAAGTTACATGTATTGTTTCTAACAAAAAAGGAAAAGAAAAAACTAGGAAGATCCTGTCCCATTCATATAGATACAAAGGACAGAATACATACTTAAGCCTCATTTTTCTTAAAATAATGCATATCTTAGTCTTTCTAAGTAGATTTCATATACATTTGCCAGAGATTTTTTTAATACTAAAAGAGGTAACTCTGTAATGCTTTTATATCATTTCCTGTTCTTTCTTTGTACCTCCAAAACTCCCCTTGCAAATAGCTTATAAGTTGGTTATAACTTTTTAAAAGAGGTATGTGGGCTTTTAGATATGGTTTATGATAGATAAAAGATAGTAAATGAAATATGGGCAAAGTTTCAGACATTTACACCCAAGGCTTAGTTATGAACATTACAATCACATTAAAACATGATGGAGTTACAGAAACCACCAACCAAGATCCCATTCAAAAACTCTAAATGCCTCTTCTACCCCACTGCATCCCCTTCCCCACCAAGACCTAGTACTTACTTTTCCAAGTTCTGTAAGTGTTCTCTGACTTTCTGTACCAGCCCCAGCTTGGTGTCATTAACCACAAAATCATCACAGCGATAACTGCAAGGAAAATATTAATCAATGTACATAAAGAGCTTGAAGAAACCACAGAAATGAAATCACTAAAAGGCCTGACTGCCAAGATGATCACATGGCCCTGCAGGCAGTTACTGTTGGTAGTAAGATTAAAAAGGATCTGGAATCTGGATGGAATGTTTTTTAAAAAGCCACATAGGTACTAGCTTCTTTTCACACTTTTACTTAAAACCTTTTCAGTTTCTCCTTTGAAAATGAAGTAAACTGCTGCGTGTCACACTCTTTTCAGTGGCACATAATACATGAAGAAAAAGAAAAAAGAAGCAGCACTCATCTTCTCATGTAGCAACACACCTAACACTTTAAGTGGATGAATTTCAACCCAAATTAATGTGGGACTTACGGGAGAACTGTTGGAATACCTGAAGAGAAAAACTAACAGGTGTACATTTCAAATATAACAATTAAAATAGAATTCAGATGAATTGGGAAAAATGCATCTTTATTCTCAGGCCCTAGAAAACAAAAGTCTGAATCAGTGGCTACAAGTTTTTGCTAAGTGTTCTGAAGAAAATGTTTAATGTGTTTTTAAAAATTGACAGTTTTAACAGGCCAATAACCAAATAATATAAAGAGTGACACATAAACTTTAACTTGTACAGAACCATTTGATTTTTTCTTGAAATACAGCCCATTTTAGAAAAAAAAACAGGCTGACACTAAGCTACCCTTTTAAATATGTAGCTTTCTTTAAAACCACTTACTATAACTACCAAAGAAAAATGTAAATAACACTGCCCTTGTGAGCAAAAGAAACATTGAAAGCATAGCAGTTAGTAAAAATTAGGTCATCTCTAATAAAATGTAAAAGACAGACAGACAAAAGTCAGTCTATAAAAAATGAGAAAGGGGAGAGGGAAAATGATTTTTCAAGAATAACTATCCTACACAAAAGCACAGCTTGTGATGTTTATTTGGCAGTGAAGATTTTGAGTGAATGCTTTTGAAAACTTTTAACTACAACGCCACTAGTGTAATTACTTAATACACACCTCATTAAGGGCCACCAATACTACCAATCAGGATTTGTCTACTGCACTCTCCAAGTTCCCAGGGTCAATTCCTAACTTTTCCACAAACGGCAAATGCAACCTTCCACATCCTAGGCCATCTTTCTGTGATCAAAGTACCACTGGAAGGACAATAAATCCCTCATTGGCTTTATGATAAATACATAAAAGTACTAAACTAGCGAAAAGGCATAATTCTTTGCTCCTCTCAGAATAAATGTCAAGAGAGTAGAGTGTACTCTGTCTATAAACCTGGGCTTTGGGCACTACACCTTGATAAACCCCATGTGTTCACTGAAAAACAGAACTGCATTGGTTTTTTTGTTTTTGTTTTTTTCCGGTACAGGGAATCAAACTCACGACCTTGCACTTGCCAGGCACGCACTTTGCCACTGATCCCCAGCCCCTAGAACTGCATTGTTAACTAATTTCCGCTTTCATTTTGTCTCCATAAATTTATACATATAGTTTGGCTAAAACAACACTCAGTGTTCAAATGAAAAACTACTCCAAATGGTACTGTTCACCTGAAAAATGAGGTCTGAGTGCAAATTCATATAATTGAAAAGTAAACCTCTACTCGGCACACACACAAAAAAGTGGTCGCTTTGTTTAAAGACATAACTGAAGCAGTATAAAACCTCTTTCTATAAAACACAGCTTAACAGTTCAGTAAAACATTTTCCGTTCATTAGGACACTGTGTAACGTGTGTGACAGTGTACACGGTACACTTGTCATTTCTAGCATTACATGGGAGTTTATCACCAATCTCATTTGTGTCAACAGAATGACCCAGTTCAACTGACGTTCTAATAGGTAATGATGTTGCATTATAATATGTTTACTTGGATATGTTATGCAGACGCTATGAGTTCTAGTGATACCTATGTAACCATAACTGGTAACTAAGTTGAAATATTTAAATTATAATTAAAATTTTTTCCTAGTTCAAAACTTAAGAATTGAAATTTTTTTCAAATGGAGGCATACTACTGAGACAGACTCAAGTAAAGATCAAGACAAAACCTCAAAGGAATGTCACAAATTTAAGAATGGCAATTGTAATTTGCTACAGCAGTGCAAAATTAAAAAGCTGTGTAAAAAAAAGGCACTGAAATAATTAAGCATGATATTAAGGGAAATTTCCAGCAAGCACATTTTAATAAAAAGTTGCCCCAGTCAAAAAGTAATGGAGAAAATTAGTCACAATCAATTAATTGCATAACAAAAACATATGCCAATAATTTTTAAAAGATTTGAACTTGCAACTTAGGCCAGCTACAAAATGCCTGAGATTTTTTGCTGGAGAAAGAAAACCATTTATAGATGGAGATGGAATTTATTATTTCAATGAAGAAAAATTATTTTAAAATTATGAGCAAAGACTAAAAAAAGGATATTTCACAAAAAAAGAAAAATCTTAGTTGGGTATGCTGATGCATGGCTGTGATCCCTGCTACTACAGTGGCTGAGGCAGGGTGATCACAGAGCCCAGCTTGGATGTTAGGCAAGCCTTTATCTCTGAATGAAAAATAAATTACTAAAAGGGAAAGGGACATAGCTCAGTGGTAGGGTACTTCCTATCATGTGTGGGCCCCTGCATTCAATCTCTACTACAGGTACCACGAGCACCACCAAAAAAAGGGGAAGCTCTTCAATTAAGCCACCCAGGACCTTTCTAACAGTATTAAAGATCAATCAAATCAACATTTGAAAAAGTGCAAGTACCTATGCTTTTAGGAGGTTTTACAAGTTAAGAGATACTGCCCAATTAAAACTTTAGAAATGATTTGTTTCAAATGACTTTCAAATTTACAAATAAATGTCTTCACCTACTTGAAATCTTAAAATGATTTCATGTTGAAGATTTTCTTAAAACTTTTATTCTGTTACTTTCATCTAAATATCAAAAAGCCAGTTTCTATCAAGACAATAAATATTCCATCAAAACCTGAATTTACTGAAATTATTTCTCTTGTTTTGATCCACTGTGTAAAATACATTGCAAGTATCTGTGTTCTGAGGTAGTCTGGGTGATGGGGCAGTAATCAAATTGTTCAGTGTATGTATGTGAATACTACAAATCCTCAACACATTTCTGAAACTGTTAAAATAAATAGAAGATGATAAATTCAATCACTGTATGTTCTTTACCAGTGTAGATTGCTCTGAGTCATGGAAGAGGCTTACAAAGATGTACTGTACTGCTACCTCTAATGCAAGATTTTCTTAAAGAAATCACAATACTCAAAACTCAAAACCCAGAACAGATTTTTAGCAACCTCAGTGCAATTTATATATTTTTTTTCATCTATTTTGCAAAGTATGAATAAGGTAATTTCAAGATCTAAGGAGAGAGTAGCTTATTTCTGATCTAACTAGACAGGTACAGGAATTGGTGAAAATTGACATTTTTCATAGCATAAATCAATAATGATTTCACATTTTTCAGCATGAATGTGCAGTAATTTTAATTACATAGACTGACATGTTTTTGCTTTGAAATTAAACCAACTGTTCCTTTTCTGCAGCAGTTCTGTCAATACAGATACCAATATAAAAGAAAAATGACTTTTTGGTACTCTATTTACTGGAAGATTTCTAGTAGTATGTGGAATAGCATGAATGAACTTTTTTCTTTTTTTGGTTTTTCTCCGGTACCGGGAACCGAACTCATGACCTTGCGCTTGCCAGGCAGGCACTTTTGCCGCTGAGCTAAATCCCCAGCCCATGAATGAACTTTTTTAACTGCAGTTTTTTCCACTGGGAATGGGACTCAGGACCTTGTGCTTGCCAGACAGGCGCTGTGCCACTGAGCTATATCACCAGCTCTTATCTGCAGTTTTTGTGATTCTAAATACAGACCAAATATTTCTGGGGAAAATTTAGCATCCACATTAAGATGTGCTATAAATACAATTCACACTAGATTTTAAAAATTTCATGTGGAAGAATGAAAACACTTCTAATAATTTTCATATTGATTACATATTTACACAACATTTTGGATAAACTGAGTTAAACATAAAACTAAAATGAATTCTACCTATTTCTTTTTGCTTTTTTAATGTGACTACTAGAAAATTTTAAATCACATGTGACTTGTATTATTTCTGTTGTATAATCTTGGACATCTAAGATATTACTTGCCCTAAAATTCTGTAATACTACCCAAGATCTTGATGGGGCAACTGGAATAATTTTACTGAACTATATATAAGAACTAAATTTTATTTTGACATGATTTGTGTAATTTAAAAACATTTTCTAAAAGACTTTACAACTGTCTTTGTTTCTCACGAACCAATTCTGAACATTCTCATAGATCCCTAAGACGAATCATGCATAAAAATGGGCTAAATTTAAAGATCCAAGGGAAAAAAGAGCTTATTATTTATACTATACAGGTATTTTACTTATTATTTGAGGAAAACACCTGCTTCCATGGGTCAAAACTGAGGATGCTAGCTGGGCGTGTTGGTGCACACCTGCAATCTCAGTGCTCGGGAGGCTGAGGCAGGAGAATCGCCATGTGTTCAAGACCAGCCTGGGCTACAAAGTCAGTTCAAAGCCTGCCTGCACTACATAGTGAGACCTTGCCTCAGAAAAACAAAAACAAAAACTGAGGGTGCTAGGATGTAGCAAAGGATCAATAAATGTTAGTTTTCTGCATTTGTGTAACCACAAACCTCACAGTATATGTCTCTCTGGCTGCCTGTATCCCCATTTTAATTTCTTCCTCCTTTACGCAAGACATGCACATGCACGTGTGCACATACACACACAAACACACACACCATGGTAAAGGTGGAAAATTGATGAAATGTTGCCTGGTTGCTTTAATCTTTCCATGAAATGTTGCTTTCAACCTAGATACTAGCCCACTAAAACTGGCATTAAAAACCTCCCTAGCAAATAGAAGCACTTAGAATAAGTTCTAAAAAATTTCTTTCTAAACAACTATAATAATTGCATTGAAGCAATTTAGTCAGATTTATGCTTACTTCTAACACCTGAAAAGAAAATGTTAGTAGTCTTAACTTTAAGAGGATTACACCGAAAGTACAAAAAAATTCCTAACTTACTGGTTGGGTTTCAAGTTTGTAGACTGGCCCTTTGAATCTTAATGTTACAAAATATATTAAATGCCCTAGGTGGAAAACTCCTTTCATGAAACACAGCTGAAATGGTATTCTAAAAAGCTCTACTCCACCTTGCTTCTTCATAGGTGGCCCTGAGAAACCGACAGGACCCAGCCAGGTTCAGACAACTTGATTCGTCTTTGCTAAGACAGAAACTCCAGGCCTTCATGCTTCTTCACACGCTCAGGACCGCATGTATGAAACAAACCCCAATCAGACCTCACCCACACCATCTGATCCACTTTTAGGCTACTAGATGTAACAGTGAGGCTGGGTGAGGGCAAACCTATACTCCTAGCAGTTGGGAGGCTAAGGAAGACAACTGTAAGTTCAAGGCCCACCTCGGTACCCCAGTGAGCCCCTGTCTCAAAATGAAAAATAGGAAGAGCTGGGATTTAGCTCAGAGCAAAGAACCCAGGGTTCAGCCCCCAATGCAGCCTTGTTTTCTTTTTTACTTAAACAGGTTTTTACTTAGTGATTTTCGGTGACTTTTCAGGTAAACAGAAGCTCTACTTCCAGTAGCCCACTTCTCAGAAGAAGGGTTGTTCCTTTCTATATTTGGTAGAGAAAAACTAAAAAATATACATATAACTTGAACATTAAAAAGAAAAATATTTAGAAATCATGTAAGTAACATACTGGAGATATTAGATAAGGAAACAGGTATAAAAGGGGAAGGTGGAAAGAGGATTGGGGATCCCTCTCCGTCTCCAACGTCTGTGACGAGCAATACTGTCCTATTTGCCATGTAAAGATTAGTCTTGAACCCAAATTCCTTGAGTCAAATATAGTCTTAAACTAGTTTTAAATTCTTTTAAGTCAACAGTTAATAAACTCCTAATTAAATGTTCAGTAATAATATATGCAGATTGCTGTTTAGAAAAAATTTATACAAATGATTTTAATATGTCCTGAAAGAACATAGATCAAGTAGCAGGTAAATTTTCATGTTAAACACAAGTTATTTATACAGTTTAACTAGGAAGGTAGAAAATGGATAAAATCACCGCTTATATAATTTCCAACTCTGCCTTCTCTGATAAACTAGAAAAATGAAACTTCAATTTTTTTCATTAAATTTATTCCTTCTGCTTTATTTGATTTGATTTAATGTGTTTTCTGAGCTCAGAAAGGTAAGTGTGCCAGTCTGCCTTTTTGTTTAGTGTTTCTGTTCCCATTATCTTGTAGTTTTTAATAAAAATATTTAAAACTTGTCTATTTGGCTAAACCTAGGTAATCAGGCAGACGCATACAGCAAACACACGCAAGTGAGCAGAGTGAGGCCACCGCCCATCCAACTCCTCCAGGAGACCCCATGAGTAGTTTACGGTACAAACCATCAATCTACACTACTGGCAGCAGCTACATTAAACATGGGCCAAAGCTCTTTTTTTAAATAAAAAGTTTAAATAAAAGTTCTGTTTTCTTCCTATACTGCCAATGCATCACTTTGGAGGCCCATGCACTAAAAATTAGGTTTCCAGCACCTAGGAGGTTCTCAACAAATACTGAAGAATAAAAGCAGCATGTCAGCTACTCAGATTTTTTCTGGATGTTGTTCACATTATGTCTGGGGACTATCATGTAACCCAACTGTCTCAAGTAAAATTTTGAAAGTAAAAATGTGGGGGAAGGACTGCTTACAATACCAAGTTTTCTTCAGAAAAAGACTATATATCTTTGCTTTGTATCCTTCTTTCATAACATTTACTCCTAGAGCATAGCTGAAATTTTTGACATTTTGCTGAATTTTTTTTTCTTTTGGGCATTTTTACTTTGACTGATGACTGCTAACAGAAGAGAAAGTGATTAGATTTAGGATAGCTGGGCATGGTGGTGCAGGCCTGTAACCTCATGACTCAGGAGGCTAAAGCAGTAGGGCTGGACTGAATTCAAAGCCAATCTGAGCTATATAGTGAGTCACTCACTACATAGTGAGACCCTGTCTCAAAAAAAGATTTTGCATGTTTATAATGTATTTAACTTCCAAAAGTTCTAATTAATTCTAGTTGCAGTTTTCTATCAGAGTTCCCTGGGGTCTTCTGGGTGTTCCAGCAACTAGTTTTTACATAAAAATATTTTCGTTTCCAATATTTACTTGAATTATTTCACTACTTTACCACAATGACTAGAACTGCCAAAACAATGTTTCGTAAGTGATGATCATGTATATGATAACAGGAAGTATTTCTCTTTTTCCTGATTTAATGTTAATGGCATTAGCATTTCATCATGTACTGTGATGTTTCCTGTTTTTTGATAACTGTAACAGTTTAATAGTTTCATTTCAATGTTATTAATTTAAATGAGAATTGACTTATAATAAATATTTTAGGTTTTTGTTTCAATTATAGTCAATAACTATTTTAATTAGTAAAAATGGCTTATTTTCTTCTTGGAGTTTCTATTAGATTTCTGTCTTAAGGTTTCCAAAGTTTCATAATATTAATGTACTCTACTAGCTACTCATTACCTGTGGCCATTTAAATTTATATTAATTTAAAATAAAACAAAATATTTAAATTCTCAGCCACACCAGCCATATTGTTATGGTTTGTATTTACATATCCCCCAAAAAACAATGCAGGCACAGGTGGGGCATTTGGAGATGGCTGGGTTCAGGCTGTGTGGACGTGGACTAAAGGTATGGATAAGGGAAGCCTCACACTGGGTATGGGTGGCACCAATCAATAAACTTGTAACTAGGTGGAATATAAAAGGACAGAAAGAAAGTGGGCTCGCTGCTGCTGTGCTGCTGCTTTGCTGCCTCCTGCCTGTTTTGCCATGAATTATTTCTCCTCTGTGACGCCCCTTTACCATGCAGTCCTGACTTGGAACTATCTGACTATGGACTGAAACCTCTACAAACTGTGAACTGAAATAACCCTTTCCTCCTTTAACTTTGGGTGCTGGGTACTCTGTCTCAGCAACAAGAGAAGTAACTAAGACACACATTTAATTGTTCAAGTGCTTCTGTACTGAATAACATAAATATCCCACCAAAGACAGAAAAATCTCTACCTCTTGCTCAGCTTTAAAATTCTAAGTTTTCCTTCCATTCCTATCGTTAGTACTATGTAAGTGACTCATAGCATAGATTCTACATCATATTCTTGAACTAACAAAATATACCAAACCAAACCATTTTCCATTCAGCTGGAACAAAAGGAATCATCAGGCAAATGAACCTGAGTTTTTAAACAACAGTAAAGAAAAAAAAACTTTACTGCTTAAAAGCTATCATTATACAGTAAGTCATGCATTATACTAATATTAAAAAATAATTATAAATCTTTTGGGCAAAAAGAATCCCTCAAAATGGGGACAGGAGCAGGTCATCCAGTGAGTTTTAAATTCCTTTTCATTTACTTGCCTAACATTTTGATATTTAGAGGCAAATTTGACTTCGAGTTTTATCATACTTTTTTTGGGCAGGCTGTGCAAGTGAAAGAAGCCAGGGAAGCAAGTACTCTGCCACTGATTCTCAGCCCCTAGTTTTAGTGTAAGTGATAGATGGTTGGAAAAAAGAAAAATAAATTGACATTCCAGTGACTTCATGTATTTCAAACTTGCAGATGTTGAAACTCAAAACAATCCCTTGAGAAAGCGAGCACACGCTTCGGTTCTCTTTTACTCCGTTCTGTCTCACCACGGAATGAGCCAATGATGAGAAATTAGAGCACCTGAGAGTGAGCTGTACCCTCTGTTGAAACTTTATAAGGGTGGCGTCTACATTTTTAGGACATTCTGTTAGAAAGTTTCTTTTTAAACTTTAAAATATTATTTTTAAATAAGCGAAATTCTTCCTGCTCCTAATTTTTTACTACAGTCATCATTTGATCATTTCACAACTCAGAAAGCTGACCCTGGACGACTGCTAGAGCTCAGGAATTTCAGGCAGGCTAGGTAACACAGTAAGGTAGTGAGAGACTGTTACATTATTTAAAAACTGCGGAGAAGGGGCTTGTGGGGCAGGATTTGTGTCCACATAGTTTACATGAATAGTCAACAGAAAATGTGCCTTTCTAAATTTTTGTCACAACTTCCTTAGAAATCTACACAGTATCAATTTAATCCACAACCAAGAGCTTTAGTTTTGTTAATTTGACTTAAAATTACTACTTGTTGCCAATGTTTAAAATCTGAAATAGAGTCATTTTTTAGACAAATGAATTGACTCACATTTCATAATACTACTTTGTTTGAAAGGACGCTTTAAAATGTTACCTGCCAGGAAGGTCACATTCTACTAATTTGCTTTTTTTTTGTACCAGGAATCGAATTCATGACCTCAGGCTTGCCAGGCAAGTGCTAAAGCCACTGAGCCATACCCCTGGCCCTACTAATTTGCTTTTAATATTCCTTTCATAATTCTTCATTCTCAGAAATGTAGCTATTGTTGAAAGCATCACAGTTGACAAGACTATGTCAGATGTTAAGGCATTTTTTAGTATTTCAGATCTATCAACTCAATATTTGTCCTTTACAAATCAATGTTTCTAATATTAACCTTTGCTTCTTCTCAATCACAATAATATATACCACATGCAGTTCCATTTGCATTGCTGGAGAAGGGAAATGGATGAACAATGAGGAAATACTGCTTCACAGACAATAAACAGAACACTATCCTTTGTGTGAACATCTTGGAAAAATTTTTATTTTTACTGAAGTCTTAATTTACCTCTCAGTTTCATGTTAATCTGTTTATCTCCTCGAGGACTGGGCTGTGTCAAATCAGAATTATTCCTTTAGTTGTTCTTACATAGTACAGACATGCTTCCTCTCTGAGTGCCCAGATTGTATCAGAAGTGAGGGAAGCTGTCTTCACGGGTGTCCAACTCAGGAAGAACGTGAAGTAGCTCACCCACACATGATTTATAAATCTTCTGAAAGAAAAGTGTCTTGTGGCTCTTCAGTCTTCCCAAATGATTAGAGGACACAAGCTCACAGATTTGGTGTATGTAACCTTCCTCATTTTTGGAAGACACTACAAAATTCAATCTTTCAAATATATTTTATGTACACTACACCAGACAATGAGCACTGGGGAAAATACAAAGATTAGAGATATGGTTTCTGCAGTTCCCAAGGACATTTAAACACAACTAACATGCAGCAGGAAATTACAAGTATCCCAAGAGCTGTAAATTCAGGAGAGATTACATCCAGCTGCAACTGGAACTAGGAGAAGGCAGAGTTCAGTGGTACCTTCTTGAAGGATTTGCACAGAAAAGACAGGGCAGAGGCTCTTGGTTAAAGTAACACCACACACACACACACACACACACACACACACACACACACACACGCTAAGTTTCAGAGAATCTTACTTTTCTGGGGCACAGAACATACTGCATAAAAAGGAACTTCAACATTAGCTAAAGTCAAAATACTTAATACCCTAACATCCTAAAATTAATACATCACATCAATATTTTTACCTCAAATCTATCATTCAGTCTAATCACACAAATTTAGGTAAAAGAAAATTTATAAACTGGAGTAAAATTACTAAAGTGAAAATTACTAATGTGCACTGGGAAATACACAGCCACATAATCAAACACATGAACAAGAGAATCTTTTTGTTTCTTGGTAACAGTTAAGGCCTGGAGAAAATATTAATTTAAACTTTAGCTTTACCAGTTTACAACAATTACAGATTCCTTTTAGGCCTGACAGGGTAATTCTATAGGGTGACTCTGTGGCATTTTGTTCTAAAATCCTCAAGTGAGGCAACAATGTGACTGACCAGCTGCAGCTCCCTTCCTGCACTTCAGAAGCTCTGCGTAGCCACACACTTGGAGCTCTGTATGACTTCACACAAAAGACTGGCAATTGGCCAAGAGGCCTCTGCCATGGTGTACACTCCCAAGGTTCAGGATTTTCTCAATTCCAATTCAGCCATGAAATAACATCTACTTTAACAGGTTATATCAGTGTAGAACAAATTACATCCTAATTTAGAGTTAATAAAAGAATTTCCCTAAAATGCAAAATATAAACCATTAAAGTACATAATTTATATTGTAAAGGAGCCCTACAAATATAATTCTACTCAATTAAGATCATCTTCAAAATTTCCTCAAAGAGTTGGTTTCCTCTGAATCTTACCAACAGCAAGAAAACTCACTGCAGGCCTGTTACAGCACATGGAGATTTAACTGTATTTGCAAAGCTCCCCATTCATGCACACTGGTAACAGAAAATCCAGACAGAATGTTTTCAATATCTCACTTGAATAAGCTGACATGATCTAGGACAATGGTAGTGAGATACTTCCAGAGTAATATAAATTTTTGCTGTCATGAAAGCAAACATACTTGTGAACATACGGAAACACATGGTTCTGTAAATTGAGTAGCTCTGTCATTCTAGTACGCAAGCTTCCTACAGGAAAGGGGGAAAAGCTAAGGAAAACAGCCTGTTTAGCTCCAGTAGGAAGGTGTTCTACGGCAGCAAATCACAATGAACTGGGCACTTGTCCTTGTATGAAAATCTTGGGAAGACTTTCATTCTTCTCAAAATCTTCATCTACCTCTTAGTTTTCTCTCCATCTAGACACCTTCTACACAAGGATCACTGAAAGAGTTGTCTGAATGACTAAACTTCTCAAGATGTTTATTCAATAGCCAAAATTTAATAAAGCTAAACATACCAAAAATTATAAAGACCTAGAAAACCACTGACCTCTTCTTCCTCCTTTTGAGGGGCTCCTTTCTCAATTACTGACAAAGGGCTCTGTAGAAAAGGATTGGCATACCACTTACGTGAAAAGCGTGACTCAAACTAGTACCTGGACTTAAATCCCCATCTTGGTCCTGTACTGCCTTCGCATGACATTCAAGAAAACTGGCTCTAGACATATTATTCTTTCAGTGGCTTGTTTTTTTTTTCCCTTTGATGTTAACAATATTTAGAACTTGGGGTAAACTGATGAAAAAAACTGTTCATCGTAATTTGCTGGTCAAGGTAATAAATTTGCTTTACACCGAAGTTACAATTGCAAATTATACTTTTTATACATATCAAATGGACATAAATTGTTAAACATCACTTGCCACATAAATAACTCATTCTAAGTAGTCACAGAAATGGACCCTACTTTACATACAAAATGGACAGAATATTATGAAAAAGTAGGGCCGCTAACCTCTTTTTAAAGGATGAGATACTTAGACTGACACACACCAAATTCTGAACATTTCTCCAGGGAATAGAAGAGAACAGAACTGCCATGAGACAAGGAAGAATGTCACGACAGTCTTGCAAACAAAGAAGTTAAAATCTGTAATATTATATGCGAAATTGTTAAGTGGACAGTAGGGATATGATTGGTTGGTGGGTTTTTAATTTATTTATTTATTTATTTATTTATTTATTTATTTTGGTTTTTCTCCGGTACCGGGAAGGTTGGTGGGTTTTTGACCACAGATTGTCATTATATTATTCTTCAATTTAAAAAATACAAGAAAAAGAAAATCTATGGTGGCCAACAATAAAGGAACAGACATTTTTCATCTCCCTGAAGCCTACTGGGCTGGACAAGGAGCAAGGGCTGAAAGTGGAGGCCTAAAAGCAGAAAGGAACCCACAGTAAGGGTGAGTAAGGGTGGGCGTCCCTGATGGCCCCAACCCCTGTGAATCCTAACTGCAGGGAAAGGAAGCAATGGCAGCAACAGCTAATTGAAAGGGGGGAAAGGCAAGAAGATGAGCGCACACTTGGTCACACACAGAAACACTTCCAGAAAATAATTAACTTACCAGTATGTACTGTAGCTACTGCAATCCATACACACTGTATGCTGAGGCTTATCGTGCTTTTCTGATTTCTTATGGTTGGTTAAGGGTATTTGTGCATCTTCATAATGTTTTTTAGCATGGCCGTTCACATACCTTACAAAAACAAAATGAAAATTTACTTTACTTCTTTAGAAACTAAAGTAGTAATACAATTAAGTGTTAAATCAAATGAGAAAGGACTACACGAGCATTTGTTTAGTGATTTATTAAGCTACGTACTTACAATATACTCCTTTTTGCAATTAAATAAGACAGCTTTTAATTATACTCTAGACTAGGGCCAGGAAAGAAAAGGCATTACCTATGCAAATCAATTTCAGTACAGTTGATATTATCACTTATAAACACCTATGCTAATGTTTCGGCTATAGCCTTTTTCTTTTAAGGTTTTCTCAGGCTGCTAACTGCTAACTTGATGTATCATCAAATAGAAGCACTGTAGATTAAATTACCCAACCACTTTCCACAGGACCATAGGCTTTGCTTGAGTCACTGCTTAATCTAAAACATGAAAGATTTGGAAATAAAATGATTTTCAATATTTCTTATCTCTTATTTGAATGCCTGAATAATCAGTTCATGGGAACACATTTGTTTAGAAACAATTCAGACAAAGCACAAAATACCTTAAGATTATAAAAAACATTTCTGTATATAGACAAATATTATCTTAAGGTTATAAAAAACATTTCTCTACAAAGACAAATATAATCAAAGGTTGATTATGTTCACAGAAATTTTGTGACACTTTCCAACTCAGATTTAATAAATCACTTTATTACAGCAAGCAAAAAGCAATCAAATTAAGGATTCGTAAACACACGGTGTGTGCCCAAATTCATCCACACCTTCACTTAGACTGCACGGTGCCAGCACTGACCGCTACTGTGCAGACCCTCACAACACAAAATTTCCCTGCTCCCTGAGTACAACCAGCGGTAGAAGACAAGGCTTACCTGAAAACTCAAATAACCAAAACAAATGTTGGTTAAATGGCACCAAAATAACAGGTTGAGATGACATTTCCATTGTGAGGCACAGTAATTGTATCTCATGGAATGACACTTACCTTTGGAAAAGTAAGACAGGTGCAGAAAAGAAAGCTAGGTGCAGTAAGTAGGGAGGATCAACCCCAAGCTCAGCTCTATACCCTCAGGAAAACTGGTCACATCTGAGGCATGATTAACTTCAACTCAAAAAATTTCATCATATTCCTTTCCTATTTTGTCCATGTACTTAAAAGACCACTAACAACTGGGTACACGAGTCCTCTCTCCCCAAATGCAGAAGATAATAAATTTTAAAGTAAAACCAAGATTAAGAATACAAGCTAAAAAACAAGACTGCCTCGTTTCAAAAGCAGGCTTTGCCACATCCTGGTCCCACGCATGGGTGAGTTGCTCAACCTTTCTCATCTGCAAGCGGAGATGTGAGCACAGTGCAGTACTTGTGTCTCATGGGTTGTCAGGTGATTAACTCATGGCTCAAAACAAATGAATGTAATTATTTCAGTAGCATCTTCCCTTATATACTTATTTATTCAGAATCCAAATGTAAGTGGGTACAGTAAGCATGTATTTTGAGATAACACACAATCAGTCAAGATACTATTTAATTAAAAAGGTAAACTGTATGACTTCACATAGGTTCAATATCTAATTATTTTCTATTTTTGTAACCTGCTTATATTACACACCATGAAAAATAATGGTAATCTTTATGACAAAGAATGCCTTCAGAATCAAAGAATATTAATACTGAATAATAATAAATGGCATTACTGCTTCAAGTGTTTGAAAACTGGTCATTTTCACATAGCACACATACAGTTCATTTAGTTACAATACTGTAGTCTCCTAATGCACTACATGTTTCCATGGTTCCCATCACTGTCAGTGATAAAGTTAGAATTATGCTTATCAATGACATTAAGGTTAACAGTGCTTTGGCTAATACTCAAATACATCGGTCAGACATTAAGAGTTCTGTACAAACTAGGTTATATAAAAAGAAATGGATCCTCCATCTAGTTTTGGATTTTAACTACTGTAGACATTTTGATCTACAGCATAGAAGGAAAAGTTTCATCATATATGTCACAGATTCTAACTATCTCAAAAGCTTGAGAAGTTACTTAAATACATTGGTGTTATGAAGACCACAGAAATATATAATTCAAATATGCTATTAATAATCTATGTTTCCTGGTTGAAAAAAATTATTCAATTTAAGACTTCTTGGTAAGCAAGTAGTCTACCGTTGCTGAAAAATCAGTAAATTTGGCAATCAACACCTACAATTACCTGATAAAAAATTAACCAATCAGTTATATACAATGAAGATCAAAATTCAGGCTATCTCAATTATACGTTCAATCTGCGTAATCATATTTCTCTGAAAGTAAGTCAAACTTCTAAATTTAACCTTGCCTGCAATTGTTAACAGTTTACCTACAGTCTAGAAATTTTTCAATTTATTTTTCTAAATCCTAACTAGAAAATTATTTGTTGCTTATTTTGTTTTGCTTTTTGACAAACAGGCTTTTTTGGAGCGGGTACCAGGAATCAAACTCAGGATCTCACACTTGCCAGGCAGGCACTGCCCCACTGAGCTATATCCCCAGCTTGTCTGTCTGTTGAGACAGGCCCTTGCTATGTAGGTCAGGCTGGCCTTTAGCTCACTATGTAGCCAAGGCTAGCCTTGAACTTGTGGTAATCCTCCTGCCTCAGCTTCAGAGTGCTGGGATTACAGGCATACTCTACCATGCCCAGCTCATTGCTGGCTATTAAGAACACTAATCCCTTGAAATTTTTCTCATAAATTTTTGAGGTCTTTTCATTAGCTTATGAGCTTCAGGATTTAGGGGTGTAGAGCACTATGAGACAACTAGAGGACAAAACTACATAAATTTTATTGCATTATAATTCTCACCTCTCAAAATCTAGGAGAGGAATCTGTCTCTTCAAGTGCAGAATTTAAATGCTTCTACTTTTCTTCTTTTTTTTTTTTTATTAAGTTATCTGTACTGTACAAAGTATTTTCAGGTTCCCCAAATCCTAGAGATTTTAAAACCTGGAAGGTTTTAAAGCCACAATTAAGCCACAATTAAGATAAGCAGTTCACATTTTCCAAAAGTACTCTTAAGTGTACATGGAAAAAAAACTGGATTTCAGGACTCAAAATGTGAAAAATCAAAGGTTAACTGAACAAAATGCTCTCCTTGTACAATGAAGATTTTAAAATGACAATGGGGAAATATTTCAGACAAGTACAACATGGATATGAGCTTATGTTTCTAGTATGATTTTGTATCTCCTTGCTGTTAAGCTATTAACTTTTAAAGTAAAACAAAACAGATTTTCTGTGTTAAAGGGCAGCAGGAATAAATGTGCTACTATGGCTGAAAGAACTCAGAGGTTGAAATTTGAGTTTGTGGTAGAAGAAAAGAGTTCCTGAAGTATTTAAATATCATTTTGAAGCCAAGAACTGGAAAATAATGCTTGGGAATGAAATGGGTAGGGTGGGATAGGAGATGTTAAATCCAGGGAAAGCAAAATGTTTTCACGGAATAGAAAAATATTTGGTATATCTTAGGCAGGAATAAGTAATAAATTCCTTTATGTGTATTTATTTTGGGAGGTTTTTATCCTCCACAACAATCTGACATCGGATTCCAAAGTCAGTGAAAGTGGGGGTTGGAACAGGTGAGAGGTGAGACAAGCCTGGCCATGTTTCCACTACTCCAGTCAGGACATGGCCTGCAACTTTACTCTATATGACAAGGGCATCCATTTTACCCTACTACAGGCTTAAAAAACAACTACCAGGTAAGCTTCTATTTCAAGATTTAAAAGTCTCATTTTATTTTTCCAATCCAATATTGCTAGCAGGTTGTGTTGATCATCAAACCAATTTTTCTACATATCAGTATGATATGTTTATTTCCCTCGATTTTCTCCAGCTGCATCAGAGAACAAAGTAACTCAACTGGACATCAAAACCCCATAGAGAATTACACAGTATGACTAGCCAAAGTACGAATAAGTCAATGAACTTTTACATAGAGCTTAAAGGCAAATTTTAAAAAGCAAATAGAAGAGTGAGGTAGTAAGTATGTCACCTACCTTCCACAGTGGACACTTGAGCAAGTCAAACAGACCCAGGGGCTTTTGTTGGACCGGCACACTAATAAAAAGAAAAATACAGTGTAGCAATTGTATCGTGTCATTTCCCAATTTCTCCCCTGTTCTACAATGCATACCCTGTGATCCAGTTATAAACTCCATGGCCGCGTAGGTGCGCTCAAATCATGAATCCCTGCCTGTGAGTGCAGCTACACAAAATGGCCGCCTAATTAAAGTACACTGAAAAGAATTTAAATGCAGTCCACGCAGCTGCTCATTTTAATTGTTGACTCAATTCAAACAGCTTAGGCACAATTAGGTACATATACAATTTCCTCCTTTATTATTTATTCCCTTTTACCATGATCTCCAACAAGAGAATGAAAACCTATTTTCACATTCAAAACATTTTTTTCAAAGTCTAGTCTTTTAATCACAGATCTTGCCCTGCGGGTCATATACCACTATAAAGAACAACGTTTGCAGCTTAAGTAGCGAGAGGCACAGCCTAAGGCTGCAATTAGGAAGAGTAAGCCTACTTTTCCAAAAGAATTTCTCAGTTGCACACACACACAAAAAAAACTGCATATAACTCTTGCTGTTGATGTCATCAGAACATTATTTTAGTTTAAGCACTGCAGGGTTGGGGACAGGCAAAAAGTGGTATGTGTAGAAAATTTTTAAATGCTAGTTAAAACCTTTTTACTGTTTATTAATTCAACTAAAAAAAGATGTTCCACCATTTGTGGTGGCACTCACCTGTCAGTACTCCCCACTATTAGGAGGCTGAGGCAGAAGGATCACTAATTGGTGACCAGCCTGGGCAACTTAGTGAGATCTTGTCTCAAAGTAAATTTTTTTCAAACCTGGGGATATAGTTCAGTAGTAGAGTGCTTGAAGCCCTGGATTCAATTTCCAACATGGGAAAGAAAAAAAGCTCATGATATAGCGATGGTTTCAAAAGGAGAGCAATACAGAATCACCTGTAAAGCTTTCTCAAAACACCTCTCCTCTACTCAGGCAAAGACATCTATGGTGGGGTGAAAAAGAAGTACAGTGCAGATGTGTGTTTTCAGGAGAGCAGCTTCCCCACTGACACCTAACACAGGGGAATGGGAAGGCACCATACCCTCAGAATTGTAATGAATCGTAATGAATTCACTTAGGAACACACAGTAGATGCTCAGTGAACGCTCATTAAAAAGAAAGTTTAAATTTCTTAGTTTAGGACACCAAGCTATTCCAGTATCTGTTTCCTACTTTCATCTCTCTTGCATTATCACATGTAACAACAGGCCTCTCTCACATTTAAGAAAAATTAACCAAAACTGAACATAAGGCACATCAAGAACTGTCAGTCCTTTTAATGTGTACTGAAACATTAATAAATTCTCCCAAAGATATTAAAGTATCATTGTTTGACCTGTAAATGACTGTAATTAGGACCCAAATTTTGTGAAATTACAGGTTAACGTGTAGGTTTTTATTGTGCAGAGCCAGTATCTATTCAGCCAACTCCCAAGATTCTGATTTTACTGCTCTGTGGGACATTGACAAATTCTGTACGTAGACTAGAACTTTATTCCAGTGCTCTTTGTCCATGTCCATACCCACTCAATCCCCAAATGCTCCTGGAGGCGGCTCTACCTTGTACTGGTTCCCGCATTAATGAGCCAAGGAAATCTTGGGACTATGCTCATTCTGCACTTGTATGAGAGGGGAGCAGGAAAGAAAGGGCACAGGAGAGCACAGTGATACTCTGCCCGGGGGCCTCTCCCGTCTGGCCACACAGGGCTCTGCTTTTGAACAGCAACACTGAGAGGCAAAATCCTTCCCGGTTAGCTAGTCCCTCCTGCTTCTTCCCTGCATTCACACATTTACCTTCACTGACAAGGCCATTCTTGAAGACACTGGAGGTTTTGGCTCAACTGGTTCAATTCCTTTATACATGCATGTCAGCTGCATGACAGAAGGACCTAGAAGAATAGGTACCAAACTGCTAGAAGCAATTACTTTAGGGAGATCTGCAGGGAAACTATTGTGAGGGGGGATTATGGGTTTTTCTTTCTTTTCTTTTCTTTCTTTTTGTCTTTTCCCTCTTTCTTTCTTTCTCTTTCTCTCTCCCTTTCTCTCTCCCTTTCTTTCTTTCTTTCTCTCCTTTTCTCTTTTTCTTTCTTTCTTTCTTTCTTTCTTTCTTTCTTTCTCTGTAGCACTTTCTAGTGTTTTAAAAATACAGTGTGAAGCCAGAGAGGGTTGGACATAACTGTAATCCTAGCACTTGGGAGGCTGAGGTAGGATCATTGCAAGTTCAAGACCAGCCTGGGCTACATAGTGAGCTCAAGGCCAGTCTGAACTACAGGGAGACCCTGTCTCAAAAAAGTAATTACAGTGTGAATATAACAGTGTTTTTTTTAAACAGAAAGTCCAATAAACATAATTTTTTAAAAATAAAAAGTACAGGGACTGGGGATTTAGCTCAGTGGCAAAGTGCCTGCCTGGCAAGAGCAAGGTCGTGAGTTCAATTCCTGGTACCACAAGAAAAACAAAAATAAAATAAAATAAAATAAAATAAAATAAAATAAAATAAAAAGTACATTAGAATATAATTTAAACAGTTATTCATAGTTTGAATAAGTCGGATGACTGAAAACTGATTATACTCATTTCCAACAAATCTTTTTCCTTAGTAAATATTAAGAAGCACTGTAACACAATCTGAAAAGACTGGTTTTATATTATCCTGAAATAAATACATTATAATGATAAGTTTAGACCCAAGTTTTTAACTATTCAGATTTTTTTATAATTATGCAGGCCTTTTTACCTCTTTTATAAAAGGAAAGTTAGAACAAAACCACTTTTACTTTGCTTTAGTGTTTCCTACCAAATATTCTTTTTCCTCCCTTTTACAATTGTGAACATAAATATAGTACATGCAATTTTATGATCCTATTTTTCCACTATTGCTAAATTAAAAATTTCTTCATGATAGTGTATTTAGGACAGGGTATTACATTTATGTACTCTTACTCTTGATAGCTCAATTATTAATTTTTTAATTACTAAATCTAAATTTTTTTTTTAAAGTATACCCTGAGGATAGGAAATAACTGCTTAATGGATATAGAGTTTACTTGGGGATGATAAAAACATTTGGAACTACATAGAGCTAGTGGTTGTTCAACAATGGTAAATGTACTAAATGACAACGAATTTGTTCCTTTTTTTTTTTTTTGAGACAGTGCCTCACTTTATAGTTCAGGCTGGCCTCAAGCTCATAGCAATCCTCCTGCCTCAGCCTCCCAAGGGCTGAAATCACAGGTGTGCAACACCACACCTGGCTTCCCTTTAAAATGGTTCATTGTATGATATGTAAATTGTACCTCAGTAAAGCAGACATACACACACGTAATGCAAACATACAGACAGGCCTGGAGAGAAAACAAAGGGACATAAAGTACTGACCTCCAAAAACACTGGGAACAAAGGACTCTCCTTTTTTTTTTTTTTTTTTTTTTGATAGGGTCTTGCTGTGTAGCCCAGGCTGGCCTTGAACTTAAAGTGGTCCTTCTGCCTCAGCCTCCCAAATGCTGGGATTGTGTCTTATTAATAATCTAAAAACATGAAACAAAGCTCAAGGACAAAAAAGAAAAACTTCACTTTCTGAGTCTAGAGATCTGATTTCTTCTCCCATGAACATTTATGGTAAGAAAGTTAGTGTAAGATAGGACCATCTGTCTTGGCTATTTAGATGACAGTATCTCTGAGGGCATAATGTGGTCAGATCAGAAGAATACTGAAAGACTAGAAAACTGTACAGAATGGGGCATGATGGGGGACCAGGAAGCCAGTAAATGGCATTGATTTGGGGAATATTCACTCTGCTCATGCACACCTTACCCAATTTAAGAATCTTTAATGTACCCAAGATCATTATCTTTAAAAATAAAAAGAAAATAGGCCAGGTAGGGTGGTACACGCCTGTAATCTCAGCACTCAGGAGGCTGAGGCAGGAAGACTGCCATTGAGTTTGAGGCCAACAGGCCAACCTGGACTACACAGTGAGTTCAAGGGTTAGGGTAACCCTAACCTTAACCCTAAGCTGGGCATGATGGTACACGCCTGTAATCTCAACACTTTGGGAGGCTGAGGCAGGAAAATCACAAGTTTGAGTCCAACCAAGACAACCCTGTCCTAAACTAAAATAAAAAATGGGCTGGGGATGTAACTAAGTGAAAAGGCCCCACGTTCAATCCCTAGTATCACAAAAAGAAAAAAATAAAGAATAAAACAGTCATAGCATAAATGAAAGTATACTACAAATGATTTTTAAAACATTTATTTTAATTGCCTTCAGGAGAAATATTATAAAAGGAAGTTCCAATTTATTAAAATATGTTTTAAAAGTTTATCTGTAAAATGAACACAGTTTCCATGGAAGCTGAATTGAAAGTTGCCAGGCACTTCTATAAAACAATACCTGGAACATAATACTTACAGGTGAAATCTCATAAGCACAAACACAAAATTAAGCACACATGACCAATAAAAATATTTTTCTGGTACCAGGAATCGAACTCAGGACCTTGTGCTTGCCAAGCAGGTGCTGTATAATAAAAACATTTTAAGCTCAAAATATAGTCTCTATTAAACAAATCAGAAACACCCAACCAAAGGGGCTTTTTTATATTTTTAATCTTAAATGCGGATACTTGAGAAAAAGAAGTGAGAAGGATGGAAAGGAAACTTGTGAAAATTCAAACAGTTAAGCCTGGGAATTTATAAGGCCTCCTTCATACACCTCATCACACTTCAAGGGGGCGTCACAGAAAAGGAACCAAACAACGGATTTCTCACAGTTATCCTGGCAATAGCAGGGTCACCTGGTGTCTTATAAGCAGAATCTCCCCTTTTATTGAGATTATAAAATGTCCTCAAACAAGGTCCCTTCTCTACCAAAAAACTGTTCCTCCTTCATTGGATTCTGCCAGCCGTGAGCTCACTCTCATGGCCCCCTGGCATCTCAGAGCACAGGTTGGCACAGTGAGGCTCCCTTCGCTG